GTAGAAACCCAGATGCCCAACAAAATTTCAAGACCTCTGATCCTCACTTTCTCCTCGCCAGTGAGGACACTTTTGCCTGTGATTACTGTGCAATCAATGGACTGTAGGGGTAGCGGCTCGGAATCTCGAGCCGCTGCAGAGGAGAAGAAGAGGTTGATGTTTCCAAACCTCGAGGTTTGGTCACGAAATTGGTCGCATGGGGGTCGCACGCGATTTTTGGGCTTTCGAGCCTAGTACTATTCATCCTCTGGATCTGGTACTCCTCTTCCTCTTGTTCTCCCGAACAAGGCCTTTGCGGGTGATGGAATTATTGTTGATTAGAAGGCTGAATGTCGAAATGCTGATTCGCCCCGCTTTGTATGTGTGTGTGTGCGACATTGAGCTGGTAGGTGGGGAGAAGAGAGTTCTCGGGTTACCTCTCTCGAGAATGTTCGCATCTGCCCGTATCATCCAATCGATTGTCCCCGTTAGAATGTTGCGAACTTCCGAACTTCGCCTCGCAAGGCGAGCCTGTCGTTGCGTGGCGAGCATGCTGCATTTGGAGGTGCTGCGAAGCTGGCGACGGAACCTTCCTGGCGAATTGGGCGGAAGCGCGCCAGCGAGGAGGGGAGGGTTTTAAGTTTTAAGTTTTCAGTTTTTTATTATGGTCGTAACCGCATACAGTGCAACACCACAAGCATGGCTTATAGCCAAGGTCTAAAAGACCTACTCTAAAACAGAGTTACTTGCCTATCAAAAGATAGGATGAAGGCCAAAGCCTTTATCTGGATGCACAGCTAAAGTCAGAGCCTCTTCTACGGGGGATGAAAAGAGTCGTTCAGCAGCCAGGATTTCCGCAGAGCTGGGTGAAGATGTGGGGTACCATCGATCCCGAAAGTGATGAGCTGAAGTGCGGCGGCAGCTGCGAGCCGATTTTTCGTAGCGCGCTTTTTCTTATCAGACCATTTGGCGCGTCGACTGAAGTAGATTTTACATGAAGTTAAGAACAGGCCCAAAATGCGATGCAGAGTCTCGAGTCGTGAGTACGCCGTCTGCTCGTAGTGGAAAGGACAACGGTCTCGCCAGAGAATTGTGGCAGCAGCACCGACGAGCAGACACCATGGCGACGGGTGAGAGATAACAGTGAAGGCCATACGGCACAGGAACGCAAGAGTGAGCGATGTCTTCGTAAGGAGAAGCATGGAACCTCCTTACAGCCCGCTGGATGTTTAAAGCACGAATGTGCGAAGAAGGTTCCAGAGCACCGACACCTCCATGTTTCTTCTTGTTGTATAGGATCCGTTTGGGAATGAGCCTCGTGGCGAGCCCATGCTCTTTGTAACGGGAGTTGGAGAGGAAGATGTCAATAACACGGTCAAGCATTGTGAGTATGAGGGAAGGGGGGGGCTGAAACCTAGCACCAAATGCATATAAGGAGGCCAGCCTCTCCGTGGAGAGCAGGTGGTAGTGGCTTTAAACTGTGCCAGCAGTTTGGCGGAGCCACGGATTCGGAGGAGGATGTTGTCCCATGTGGTAGCCCCAGGATGACTGAGTTCCTCGTAAATTTCCAAAATGCGCTCTGGGTCATCGGATCCCCGTACAGGTATTAATCCGGTGTGAGGCAGCGGGGTGTTGTGCATGTTAATGAGAATGATAGAGCACTTCTCCCAGTTCGGGTGCTCCCCAGACGTGGCCGCGAATGTGCTGAGTGCCTGGGTGGTAACCTGCAATTCAGAATCAAAATTGAGAAAGATTGACACATCGTCGGCATAGCAGGCTGCAAGCCGACGCTGGGATTGGTTGAAGGCGTAACATGGGAGGAAGGAATGTAAGTACCTGTGCATGACCTCTATCACACATACAAAGAGTAGAGGGGCTAAGGGGCAGCCCTGCCTCACACCTGAGCGCACTGGAAAGAGAGGGCCAGAGAAGTTGTTGACTGATACTCTGGTAGTGGTGTCAGTGTGGAGCATGGCAACCCAACGAATGAATCCTGACGGAATCCCCAGGTGTTGTAGGCAGTCGTAAAGGAACTGCATATCCACCATGTCATACGCTTTTCGAATATCCACTGTGAGAACGAGGAGTGGGTCACCTTGACTGAGCGCCCATTCCATGAGATCCAACGTATCGTTGATTGTGTCACCGATACGTTGCCCTTTGATGAACGCGGCTTGAGCGGGGTTAATGATATTGGGCAGAACGGCCTGTAAGCGGGAAGCGAGGACAAGGGCAAGCACTTTATAATCCGCATTCATTAGCGTAATGGGCCGCAGATTTGACACCAGGTCCGTGCTACCACGCTTGGGAATGAGAACCGTTCTGCCGGCTCTCATAGACAGTGGAATTTTCCCTTGGGAGACTATAGAGGTGCACAGTGTATGAAACAGTGGAGAGAAGAGACTTTTGTAAGAGCGGAAGAGCTCCCCAGGGAGACCATCCGGCCCGGGAGTCTTACCCCTGGAAAGCCGCCCTAGAGCAGACTCAATTTCTGCCAGGGAGAAGGGAAGATCCAAGCGAATAGAGCAGGCGGGGGGGAGAACAGAGGTACGTACTTGATTCCAGAACGCAGAGTCACGAGATACTGAGGCAAGGCCATTATAGAGCTTGGAAAAATACTCGGTGCAATGGTTGGACATACCCTGAAGGTCAGAGACCATCACACCAGAGGGGAGTTTGAGATGAGGAATGAGAGAGTCTTTAATACGGCCCTGAAGACCAACGAGAAGAGAGGAGACTCCCATCTCACGAGAGCCTTCGACCTTGAGCTTCGCCTTAAGCGCGATTTCGGCAGCACGAGAGAACTCGTATGATTCCAGGCTTGCGGAAAGAAGGGAGAGGCGAGCAGCACACTGGTGGTCGGAAGGGTTCTTGAGAAGGTGAAGTTGAAGGTGACAGACTTCGTCACTTAAAAAGGACATAGTCTTCCTTACCCGGGTTTTTTCCTCCTTACTGTACCATTTCAGTTGTCGACAGAGCTTGTCCTTCCAACGATCCCAGTCCTCAATGCTGAACCCGGGTTGCAGTTCCTGAGTGGAACGTTCCAGGGAAGAGCAAACAAAAGGCTTGAGAATTAGCGATTGCGGAAGTCGCCAAGGCCTTGGGGCCATATTGGGGTTCCGAAACCGAAGAGCCACCAGAGGCCCTCGGTTGTGATCAGAAAGGGGCGGGGGCATAGAGATATACGAGACATGATGAATGCGGTCCGCCCATTGGGCAGAGATATAGGTTCTGTCAAGACGGGACGAAGAGGGAGCAGACCCATTAATTCTCTGGTGGGAGGAGAATGAATACATGGCCTTGTCAGGAAGCTTGTGCCGATAGCAGCCAAGGAGAGAATGTTTTTCGAGTAAATCACCCAATAACACTGCCTCTGTGCGCTCCACTGGTTTCAGGTCCCGGTTCCTGTCCAGAGGCCTCACCACGAGGCTGGATGGATGAGGAAGCGGGAAGAAGACCGCTGCAGGTTCGACTGATGTGAGTAGATGTAGCTTAGCCACTCGCTGAATTGACTCGACAACCGCAGGCGCGTGTCCACAGTCAAAGAACATGTGAGGTAGGTCTTCGATTAAGGGTGGACCACAGCGGGGGCACGCGCCACCGGTAGTAGTGAAGCGGTACCTTGATCCGGACGGCAGAGTGAGAGTGAATAGTCGAAAGAGAACGTCACGGTGTCGGGAAGGCTGGTCCTTGAGGAACGAGTGATGGAAATCTGGAAGAAAAGGAATGGGGTCCCGTACGATGATGTTCCACCGCTCCAGATGGTTAAGAGGTAGAGGCTTGTAGATTAGCATCCTGATATCCGAGAGTGAGGGGTTCCCCGCGAATAGTTCGTGACGAGATCCAAGGGCAGGGCCATGATCAAAGGGGCCAGCCAGCCATCGTCCTTTAACATGGACTGGAATGACCTCCTTGAAAGAGATGGTGCGACATCCTTCACTCACGGTAGCCACCTGTCTCCCTTGCTGCACACTGAAGATATTGACAAGAGCTTTGAAGTCGGGTAAAAGGTTGGAAACACGAAAGATCTTGTTCGGTTAGTAGGTCTTTTTGGACTCCAGGACCCAGTCATCGACCGCCAGGTATGTTCTGCCCGGGGAGAATCTCCGTAATGTAGCCCACCAACTGATAGGAATGGCGTCAAAGATACTGAGGATGAGGGTCCTACTACCGGGAAAGATGGAGGGGGGGAATTTATCAAAGATTTCATCCTCTTCCATACGTCTTGCGCCTGCACGAGTGGGAATGAGGAGATTCCCGAGACGGATTTGATCATTAAGCAGAAGCAGCATGAAATCGCCAGTGAGAATCGTTCCAGAACTGGCGGAGGGCTGTTCCAGGTAATGCGTCACAGTATTGACCCACCAGGCACGCCTATCAAGATACTTGTTAGGAGCGTAGATGGCAAGAAGCCTGAACTGTTCATGTAGGAAGTTACAGTGAAGATATAAACACCTTCCATCACCAGAAGAAGCCCTGGTGGAGATGGAGACACTTGGATGAAAGATTAGTATTGCAATACCTCCAAGTTTAGCCTGAGAGGAGGAGGACAGGCGAGGGGGAACTTGAGCATAGGCTTTGGGTTTTAATTTGAAAAGAAGATGGGAGAAGTTGGAGGTCAGGCGGTTGTCAGTGAGCACAAGCACATTAACAGGATTCCTTGTAAACCAAGATCGCAGTACATCAAGTTTTTGAGGCGAGTTAAGACCGTTGACATTGATGCATTGTAGTTTGAGGTGTATATCCATTATTCACCATATGAGAGGGCCCCTTGTGCTCCAAGAAGCACATATCCACAGGGGCAAGAAAAGGTGGCACCTTTAGAAGGAGCCGGTGGCGTAAACACACAGAGGTGGCTGTCACACGGCTTCCAGCCGTAATGCATGGATGTCAACTGTGGATACAACAGCTCAGAATTATTGGGATACAGGTAATGCACACAGCATATCCAGCCGAAGAAGCCTCCTAACCCTGAGCGAGGAAGGTGGCGATCGTGCCGTTCTGGTTGAAAACATGAGCTTTCACATCCCCGAACTCCTCCAGGGGCGTGATGTTGACAGAAGCCAGCTGAAGAGCGTTCTTGTGAGCGGGACTGGCGATATGTTCCATCGCACTGTCCAGTGCCCAGCCGCAGCAGAAGGTGCATAGAGCACAAGACCAGACTTCCACTTCAAATCGGTCCCGATGAAGAAGGTGCCGGGGTCGGCCTTGAAGGAGGCCACAGCAGGGTGCTGGCCGATGATTCTGGCTGTAACAGGCAGGGGGGAAGGTACGGGGCGGCACAGGAACCCACAACGGGAGAGCGGGATAGAGACCCCAGGGTAATGGCCGAAGCAAGACAATGAACCAACAGGACCATAGTAAATACCAACCGGTCATTAACAACCAAGGACAAGAATACAAGGGGGAAGCGGAGCTGGGAAAGGTAATACCAAAGGAACAGAAGGACGAGCAGGGAACCGACTTGAGACACTCATGGGTAAAGTTACCATTGACATTCTGGAGCTGCCCCATGGTGATGAGGAAAGGATTGGCGATGCGGTTCCTCCTTACAGCCGCGAAACTGCTGTGGTCACGCGTACGGTGGTTACTGGTGCACACAGCGCAGGAGTGCGACGAGACGTTCACCAGAACTGGTTCCTGAACATCTGGAACCCAAATGACAGCAGGGATAGCCTAAAAAAGGGGATCGTTAGGAGAGGCAACAGCGATGCCAAGCATCTGGGGAAGGAACGACTCTTCATAAGGATCGAACAACTTGTGGAAGAAGAGCAGGTCACCAAGCCAGCGGACCCCGTCCGTAGAGCTGGCCATCAACAGAGAGCGGATCGTACGGACAACAAGCCCCACGGGCACGTTGCGCAGCACCAGGACCGTCTCGCCACGTGCTTTGGCAGCTGAGAAGTCGGGGGCAGGATCCTGGAACACCTTAATCTCAACCGTCGGCCCTTCAGACGAACGGTAGGTGATCGGGAGCATGCGCTTGAAGCGATTAGCGTCATCCACCGTCGGCCATTGAATCGCGTGGCGACAGTACGATTTGCGAGGAAGGCGCAGGAGATCACCAGAGGAGGCTTCAAACACCGGAACACGACCGCCAGCGAAGTCGCGACCGCGGAGGATGCTACGGACACGGGTGATGATCCGGCTGCGGTGAGGTTCCAGGGCCTCAGGGAAGAGAAGAACAACAACAGCATCAGTGTCACGGACGAGCGCCGCGACAACAACTCCCACAGAGTCACGGTTACGACGAAGACGAAGGTAACGACCGGTAATAGCGAGGGCGACAACAGGATTAGCCTCCTGGGTAGACGCCGAAGGAACAGGCGCTGCCGTGGAAGGTCCAGCCATGGGAGCCGTTACCGGGGTGACAGGCGGCACCACCGAGGCCGCAGGGGGAGCCACAGGCGCAGAACTGGAGGAACCAGCAGCACAGACGCGCTTAGCGGGGGGAGGAGCAGAGACAGCGGGCGTGACCACTTCCTCGGCGAAAAAGGAGTCAACCGAGAAGGAGGCATCAAGCTCCTCCTCGCCCATAAGTTCGTCGGGGTTGTGCTGGGAACCCATTGCGCCAGGTGGTAAGGACGAACTGTCATGGTACGTCAATTTGTAGCACGGAAACGCGACTCGAGGAAGAGGTGAGAGAGTAGGTACGACGCGTCGCGGCCAAACGGGGCCACAAAATGTGCCAATTCCACGAGTGGAAAAAATGTGGCTTTGGCAATGGCCTCGGCTCACGGTAACCAACAGGGATCCAGCGAGGACTAACGGAGTCGCGAAGCGTGCATGGAAGGAGCCAACAGGAGGACGCACCGTCACAGCACAACGTGTCGCCGTAACATGCGTGCATGGCTTAGAGCAGTCGTGGAGAAAGCAGAGCTTGAGCTGAATGGTTTTCCAGAGGACGTAAAACCTCCAGAGAGGCCGTGCAACGAGGAGCAAGGAGGCAGCGAACGTCCCAAGGACCGGCTGCAGAGGGAACGATGTCCAAATGCCACGGCAGTCGAACAGGATGTGGAAACCACCATTGAGCAAAGCGAGAGAGAGCCACCCACAGCCAATCAGCTGGAAAGCTGCCAAGAGAACATATCAGTAAGAAGGGAGAAGATCCAAATCGTACGTTCCAACCAAGTGAAGTATCAAAAACCTGCAGAACCGAGCAGAAGCCAGCCAAAACACACGAAGCAAGGAGGACCTAACCTGCAAGAACACCACCAAAACCAAAGCAAAAAACGAATAGAAAACACGCGTAACAAAACCACCATAGAAACAGCTGGACTCACCTACCGCAGCACAGACCTGGGAAAACACTAGCCAAAGGACGATGGTCCTGGCATGCAGGCTGACGCGGCAACATAGCAGAGGGTGAGGAAGCTGAACTTCCGAGGTTGAGGGAGGCGGAGAGAAGTTCGACATTTTGGAAGTGGTTGAACCATGAGAATTGAGCCAGAGACCATTGGAGTTCTCGCCACGTGTGCTGGTACACCCGAACCAAGTTCTCCAGTCCCTGAACGAGAAGTCGATCACTAACAAGTCTTGGATCAGCTGAGAGCTCTAGGACGGCTTGCACACTGTGAATGGAGCGAGGAGGGGAGGAACGGATGGGGCGGTGGGATGCAATGCGATGTCATGAATGTCTATCCTGTCGTGACAGTCAAGTTGGTGCCACGGCAGCGTCACAACCAAAGTCGTCGAGGTATACTTTGCTCGAGAACTTCCTAGAATTAATTCATGAATTAAAACAGCCATATTCGTATGCAAAACAAGTGCATTGGATTCCACTTTTTGTGTATCTTTGTTCACTCTTCCACTCACTCACATTCTGATGTATAGGAAGTTCATAGATGGTTCCGATATGATACGTTGGGCATGTCTAGATACGGATCCGGCGTACCTTTATTCTTATTTTCAAGCTAATTCTCAGATACATATTACCGTCGTCTTTCTTACAACAATAATAACAAATGAAAACTATGTACTGTGGCATGTTGCAACTTGCAACTTGCACCAACTGGTACTACGATTGCTGTAACATGTGCTTGTATGCAACCGCATTGTCTTGCTCATACTCCGTACTCTGCATCTCCATCATCCTGTGGCAGAATATCCAGTCAAAATAGGAATGGAAGCGTGGAAATCAATAGCTGGTGAATCACGAAACGGGACTAGGGGCACAAATCGAGAGCCCACCAGAGTCAACAACAATATGAGAAGAATGTTTTCGGAGAGAACTTAACTGTAACTCGTGAAATGATATACTTACCGTAGTACATGGTGCAAGACAAGGAACCGAAATGATCGCGCATGATTGATATGGAATTGAAGAAAAGCTGTAACAACATAATCACTTATAGACGATGACACAGGGTACACTCCATTCGCCTGCAAAAGGAGTTCTTTACCGCTGCCTCACCTGCTGACTGTGCGGTCCTTAGCGAATCCCAGCTCGTCGTCCACCGCCACGTCAGCATCATCAGATCTCGCTGACCTGGCGGCTGTCCTACGTGGCGCATTTGCAATGGTAACCACACGCTCAAAGAGCTCAAAGGGAGTACCCTCTGCCGAGCAGACGAGGCGGGTCTTGTGCTCGTACATCACCTGGAGAGGGGGGGGGGGTTGGGGGGAGGAAATAGACTGTAAATAATTCTCAGAAGCTCAAAGGGAGTGCCCTCTGCCGAGCAGACGAGGCGGGTCTTGTGCTCGTACATCACCTGAAGGGGTACGAGGGGGTAGGAGGGGGAGGGGGGGGAGGAGTTGGTTCGAGTGACTGGCAAGAAATAAGCCAAAGCCTAAAGCCAAGGCCCCAGGGTCACAGCAGAGTGACCTGAGCTCAAATCAAGGCGGGTCTTATGCTTGTACATCACGTGGGGGCGAGATGGGCAGGGGTTGAAGGGGGAGCGAGAGGAGGGGGGGGGGGGGAGGGAGGGGGGGAGGGGAGAGGAATGTACGGCGGGACCTCAACCACACACATGCCAGTTGACCTCAATGCAAGTCATATTGGTGCGTTTCATGCGCGTACATCACTTGCATACGAGGCGACATGTGCATACAGTCACATATCCACACCGCTTGCATAGATTAACGAGAACAGGCCGATACGACAGGGCCGGTATCAATGCCGTGGTGGACTCGCATCTATCAAAGTGACGAATCGACTTTTGAGTCGACTCAAAAGTCACCTCTTTACGACAGGGCCGGTATTAATGCCGTGGTGGACTCGCATCTATCAGAGTGACAAATCGATACACTGGCTCTCTAATGTTTCTTTGAATGCATGGGGGAGAATATGCCATGTGCGGCACACTCACATCTATCAAAGTAACGAATCGATACGCTGGCTCTCTAATGTTTCTTTGAATGCATGGGGGAGAATATGCCATGTGCGGCACACTCACATCTATCAAAGTAACGAATCGATACGCAGCCCCTCTGTTGGACGCTCCGAATACAGGAATGCCCTCCATGGCTAGAGTGTGGAAATTCTCTGGAAAAAAAGGGGCACAGGGGACATGGAGGGGAAATAAGAGAAGAAAAGAAGCATTCGAACTATAAAGCTGTAAACTAGAAGAAAAAAACCTCATAATTCTTACGGACAATGGGGAGGAATGAAGCGTGCTGGAGAGGGGGTATTTTGAGGCACCGGGTACAGAACATAGTGCAGAGGAAGACCCTGGAATGAGGTACGGAGGGAAGCGATTGATATCTGAAAGGTTATCTCTGAGAAGAATAAGAGATGCTAGAGAGAGGTTGGCTTACTGCAGAGGGCGAAGTAGTCAGCAGCACCGAGAGGCACCTCACAGAGCTCAAAGAATTTGACAGACGCCACTCCCTTGGCTGCTCGTTGCACCTGATGGAGAGGGAGGGGAGGGCGACAATGGGATCAAATGAGTAGTCTGCAGCACCGAGAGGCACCTTGTGGCACCGAGAGGCACCTCACAGAGCGGCACCGAGCGGCACCTCACAGAGCTCAAAGAACTTTACTGTGGCCACTCCCTTGGCTGCTCGTTGCACCTGATGGAGAGGATGGGAAGGAGAGGAGGGAGAAACGAAGAGGAGGGGAGGGAGACATTGGAAGTGAGAGTAGTGAGCAGCACCGAGAGGCACCTCACAGAGCTGGAAGAATTGCACTGGTGCCAGTTCTTTGGCTGCTCGCTGCACTTGATGGTGGGGAAGCGGAGTAGGGGAGGGGAAAAGCGGAAGGGAGGATGCCGTGAAGTCAAGAGTGCAGAGAGTTCATACGAGAATTTCCTCTCACAGCACTGTCTTTTACTGGGAGAGTGACGGAGTGAGAGCGAAGGAGTGAGAGCGAAGGAGTGAGAGCGAAGGAGTGAGAGCGAAGGAGTGAGGGTGAAAACGTGAGAGCAACGGAGTGAGAGGAGAACAAGAGCCACTCACTCTGAGGGTGCACTTCATGAGCACCATGAGTTCCGCCCCATGAGCACCATGAGTTCCGCCCCATGAGCACCATGAGTTCCGCCCCATGAGCACCATGAGTTCCGCCCCATGAGCACCATGAGTTCCGCCCCATGAGCACCATGAGTTGCGCCCCATGAGCACTTTCAAGTTCCCAGGGCGCACTTTAACGAAGAGACAGGGAGTCTAGTTTTGAGGCGCCTCAAAACTAGTTTCCTCCCCATGAGCACTTTCAAGTTCCCAGGGCGCACGTCAACGAAGAGACGAGTTTTGAGGCGCCTAAAAAAAAGGCGCACTTCAACGAAGAGACAGGGAGCACAAGCCACGCACTCTCAGTTTCCTCCCCATGAACGGGGAGGGAGAGCGACAGAGTGAGAGAGAAGGACAAACAAGGACAGAAAGAGCCGCTCACTCGGAGTTTCCGCCCCATGAGCACTTCCACGTCCACAGGGCCCAGCTCCGCCCTCCCCATGATGAGACCAGAATGAAAGAAAGATTAGGCAGTAACCAATAAATAAAACAATAAGAGCCACCCACTCACTCTGAGCTTCCTCCCCATGAGCACTTCCACGTCCACAGGGCCCAGCCCCGCCCCTCCCATGGTGAGAACGAAGTAGGGAAGGCAAGCAAAGGTATGAAAAGGCACGGACGAAATGCTACTACGCCGCTCACTCTGAGCTTCCGCCCCATGAGCACTTCCACGTCCACAGGGCCCAGCTCCGCCCCTCCCATGGTGAGAGGAGTGAGAGCAAAAGAATGAGAGGAAGCCACGCACCGTGAGTTTCCTTCCCATGAGCACTTCCACGTCCACAGGGCCCAGCTCCGCACCCCTAACCAGCAGTTCCACCTTCTTTCCCAACAGCTCTGCTGCCCCCGGGCCTGTGAAGTACCACCCCTGCTCCACCTGCAGATGGCACGAGGGAGCAGAGGGTGGGGGTGAGTAGAGGGAAGGAAGGGTATGAGGGAAGGGAGGGTGGGTTTGAGGGAAGGGAGGGTGGAGGTGAGGGAGGGTGGGGTTGAGGGAAGGGAGGGTGTGAGGGAAGGGAGGGTGGAGGTTAGGGAAGGGAGGGTGAGCAATGAGGTGGGTTACATTCGTTCTTAACCAGCAAGTATCGCCGTTTACTTTCAATCTCAAGCGCACTCACTCACGCACACACTCGAGTTGACTTTTGAGTCGACTCAAAAGGCAATGAGGTGGGTTACATTCGCTCTTAAAACCCGCGGGCCAAGAACTTCAAGCTTAGGAAGGTTGGTTGGGAGTGAAAATGCTATTGGCCCACGAACCAATGGGAGTGTCGAACCTGTAGGACGAGGTCTTAGAACTCGGGAATAATCACAGGCGTTTTGGGACACCCAACCAACACTAGGAAGGATGAACCAATTTTGGCCTTCTTGACCCTCGGGTTTTAACCAGCAAGTATCGCCGTTTACTTTCAATCTCAAGCGCACTCACGCACACACTCACCGCTGTCAGCTACCTGTGGTCTCTGATTGACTCGATCTCGTGCAGCACACACTGGGCCTGGAACCATGCACGCAGCCGTGTGTGTGCGCGCAGCTGTACATGCAGCTGTACATGCAGCTGTGCATACAGCTGTGCATGCACGCAGCCGTGTGTGTGCGCGCAGCTGTACATGCAGCTGTACATGCAGCTGTGCATACAGCTGTGCATGCACGCAGCCGTGTGTGTGCGCGCGTGCAGCACTATCCAGAGACCAATCAGTCACCACTGCCAGCTTTCTGGAGTCCGTCACCTCGTCCACCACACACACACTGGGCCTGGAACCAGGGGTGCAGCTGTGTGTGTGTGTGTGTGTGCGTGTGTGTGTGTGTGTGCGTGTGTGTGTGTGTGTGTTTGTGTGTGTGTGTTTGTGTGTGTGTGTGTGTGTGTGTGTGTGTTTGCCTGTGTGTGTGTGTGTGGTGGTGTATGTGTATGTGTATGTGTGTGTGGTTGTGGGTGTGCATGAGTGTGTGTGTAGCATTACCCAGTAACCATCACTCACCGCTGCCAGCTTTCTGTAGTCAGTCATTGACCGGATCTCATGCACCACACACTGGGCCTGGGAGCATGCACACAGCCGTCTGTGTGCATGTGTGCATGTGAGCATGAGTGCGCACATGTGCAGGAGATGTGTGTGCATGTGAGCATGATGTGTGAGTGCGTACGTGTGCGCGAGATGTGCGTGTGGGTGGGTGTGCGAAGCACTACCCAGCAACCATCACTGTAGTCAGTCATTGACTGGATCTCATGCACCACACACTGGGCCTGGGAGCATGCACACAGCCGTCTGTGTGCATGTGTGCATGAGTGTGTGAGTGCGTAAGTGTGCGCGAGATGTGTGTGTGGGTGGGTGTGTGTGCAACACTACCCCTCTTACAACACTCACCGCTGCCAGCTTTCTGTAGTCAGTCATTGACTGGATCTCATGCACCACACACTGGGCCTGGGAGCATGGGTGCAGTTTTGCGTCTGAGGGTCTGTGTGTGTGCTGCACTACCCAGTAACCATCACTCACCGCTGCCAGCTTTCTGTAGTCAGTCATTGACTGGATCTCATGCACCACACACTGGGCCTGCAATCAGGGGAAACACGGTATGGGGATGGCAGGAGGATGCGTTAAGATCCGTTCAGGCACCACAGCATGCATCGTATCGCAAGCATGGGACAGCTAAGCGCCGTGGTCCGGACCAACCTGCTTCAGGATGGTTCTACTTTCGTCCGACCTGCCGCCCCAGCCGGACCACATGGCTTGGTTCGGACCGGCCCGGCCCCATCTCACTCACCTACCCTTTGTTTGTATCATCTGTGTGCTTGCTTTGCTTTCTGCATCGTGTGGCAAGCAATCTCGGATTTACAGCGTTCCGGGATGAGATGAGATGACTATACCGCGAAAAAGCCGCACTTGAGGAGTGCGACGGGTGGAAGAAAGAGGTATATTGGCATTCGTGCAAGGGGAGGCAGAGGGGAAAGAGGTTCCTTGGTAGTGGGGCGAGGAAGAGGTTATATGCGAGAGAGAGAGGGGTTCACCTGGAAGAGAGAGGAATCACCTGAATGGGAGCAATGGTGGGACACCTGGAAGAGAGAGGAATCACCTGAATGGGAGCAATGGTGGGACACCTGGAAGAGAGCTGGGGCCCACCTGCAGGAGGGCGATGAAGGGGAGGAAGAGGTCCCGTTGAAGGCCGTTCTCGTAGAGGCGTATTGGGGGGCGGTTGGATGTTGCCACGAGCACCTGGGGAGGAGATGGGTTGTGTTAACAAATGGCTGCGGTTGTGAATCGTCTCAAAACTAGGTCGCTCGTTTCTGGAGCCCGTTCTCGTAGAGGCGTATGGGGGGGCGGTTGGATGTTGCCACGAGCACCTGGGGAGGAGATGGGTTGGGTTAACAAATGGCTGCGGTTGTGAATCGTCTCAAAACTAGGTCGCTCGTTTCTGGAGCCCGTTCTCGTAGAGGCGTATGGGGGGGCGGTTGGATGTTGCCACGAGCACCTGGGGAGGAGATGGGTTGTGTTAACAAATGGCTGCGGTTGTGAATCGTCTCAAAACTAGGTCGCTCGTTTCTGGAGCCCGTTCTCGTAGAGGCGTATGGGGGGGGCGGTTGGATGTTGCCACGAGCACCTGGGAAGGAAACGGGTGTTAACAAATGGATGGTGTTGTGAGACGTCTCAAAAATAAGTCTCAAACTGAAGACGTGTTCGATGTTGCCACGATCACCTGGGGAGGATGGAGGAAGGATGAAGGGAGGATGGAGGGAGGATGGAGGGAGGATGGAGGGAGGATGGAGGGAGGATGGAGGGAGGATGGAGGGAGGATGGAGGGAGGATGGAGGGAGGACGGAGGGAGGACGGAGGGAGGACGGAGGGAGGACGGAGGGAGGACGGAGGGAGGACGGAGGGAGGATGGAGGGAGGATGGAGGGAGGATGGAGGGAGGACGGAGGGAGGACGGAGGGAGGACGGAGGGAGGACGGAGGGAGGACGGAGGGAGGACGGAGGGAGGACGGAGGGAGGACGGAGGGAGGACGGAGGGAGGACGGAGGGAGGACGGAGGGAGGACGGAGGGAGGACGGAGGGAGGACGGAGGGAGGACGGAGGGAGGATGGAGGGAGGATGGAGGGAGGATGGAGGGAGGATGGAGGGAGGATGGAGGGAGGATGGAGGGAGGATGGAGGGAGGATGGAGGGAGTCTTAGGATCGTAAACACCTTAGTCGGCAATAGTCTACTTGCTATTGCTTATCGTGTTCTCCACGATCTCACGAATCCAACGATATGCGCAGCTCTGCTTGAAGTTGTCAATACACACTTCAGCAATTTTCAGAATCTCAATGTTGTCCAATGTTGTATTTCCAGAATGAGTACAAACAGGTTTATAGTCAAGCAAGTCACAAAATGCGATTCGTAAATTCACTTGTTTCCCAAGTAACCGCGTGCGCCTCGTTTCACCCCGAGTCGCACACGGAACCGAACCGAATTCGCCGAACACTCCTCGAGTCCGAATCCAGCACCTTCTCGAACACGCCTTAGTCTCGAACCACAATTTCCCCTTGTCAACTCCAATCTCGATACTTCTTCACTCTTCTTCCTCCATTTCTCTAGTTTCTTCCCAATTTCTCTCCCGCTTTTCACGCCTTAGCTTCCAACGTCCACCGTAGGCCGATTTCTACCGAAATCACTCTAGAATCTCCCACGAGCTCCATTCCGCCGCCATTCCGCATTTCACCGTAGGTTCCGTGGTTGGGCGAACCAACCCTAACAATCTCCCCTGTGGTTCGTCAACCACGAACACCACTCGCACTCCTCCCCTGCTCCTTGTAGCCTTCACAGGGTCTAAATTGGCTTCATGCTCCCCTGCATCTCCTGCACCTTGAACTTCTGCTTACGTGTCTTGAAGTTGAGCGCCTTGTCATCCAAACCTTGACATATTTTCTTAAGCCTCTCACTTCTCCTCGGTGTCTTAACACCCAACACCTCTCGGGTCTCACACCCCTTAACGTGTTCCTCTTTCGTAAGCACACGCCCCTTTGCAGTTGCATTCACCTTTGATCCCTTCATCATGATGCCCCCTTTCACAGCTTCAACTCCCACACACTTCGCATTTACTGCTTCATCTTTAACCACGACCGCTGCTGCAAAAGTGTTGACACCATCTCCATCTCCATCATTCACCGCTGCTGCCTCCATGGTGACTATCTCTTCTTCCTGCTTCACTGCTGCCTCCACACTCGCTCCCGTATCATCCGTGTCCTCGCTCTCATCAACCTCAGTAGACTCAGGATCCTCATAGATCTCATCCTTGTCGTTCATCGCTATCAAGTTCATCTCATAGAACCCGTCACTGAAGTATCCATCGGCATACTTCTCCTACTCAGGACCAAACACTGTAACCTCGCCTTTGTCATAAAATATCTTGCACCCCAAGTCATCAAGCTGTGACTGACTCATCAAATTCACCTTCAAATCCTCAACCAAGAGCACATTCTCCAGTTTCACCTCTCCATACGGACTTTGCAGCACCACGTCACCCTCTCCTGTCACTGGTAACTTCCCACTGTTACCTTGCAGTATATAACGCTCACTCGACTCCCTCACGTTCTCCATCCAATCTGACCTGAATGTCATGTGACGCGTGCATCCGCTGTCCATGAACCATGCCGTCTTCTCACGTCCGTCCGTCTGACGAACATCCTTCGGTAAACGCACCACGTTCGCACGATGCGCTCCTCCCAAAATCACATCCTCCTTTTCGGCTTCCGCTACATTCGCCTTACCCGCCACAATCCTCTGCTGCGACGGACCCTTGTAGCTCCTGCTGTTCGGATTGGAGTAGCACTCTGCGGCACGATGCCCGTAGCGCCCACAATAGTCGCACTTTCCGCCAAAACCTCGTTTCTGTTGCCACTCCGCTCCCCCATTTTCTCCTTTCTCGTTCTCCACCGCTTTGCCCTTGTAGTTTCTGCTTCGCGGATTTTCGTAGCAGTTTATCGCCTTATGCCCCCTCTTTCCACACTGGTAGCACGCTCCAAACGCCTTCGTTGCATTCACCAAAGCCGGCCTCTCCTCGTCGAAATCCGTAGCTACTGCTGCCGCTTTCTTTTTCCTCATACCCTTCACCGTCTCAAGCGATTGCAGAATCTCCTGCAGCTTCGTCAAACTCTCCGGCGGTTGGTACGTAAACATACCGATGTCGGATTCCCACTCCTTAGGAAGGCCTTGGATGATATAGTCAATCATCTCGTGCTCCGTCTCCGCGGCTCCCATCACCCGCAAGTCGTCGTTGTAGTTTTTCGCCCTGTTGATGTAGGTGATGATTTTCTCGCCTTTCTCCATGCTCAGCATCAGCAGTTGCTTCCTAATCGCCTTCTTGTTGACATCGTTCGTGCCCATGTACGTGGACTCCAGGTACTCCCACGCTTTCTGTGCAGAGTTCAGCTCCCCTGCAAACTGGTCCAAATCCACCGCGATTCCATCGGCAACTGAGTGACAAAGCTGAAAGAACGCTTGCTTACTTTGTTTTTTGAACGCCGCTATTTTCTCCTTCGTATCCGTCGGGGATGGCGCAACTCCCTCCATCGTCTCCTCGTCGGAACGGTAGTACGGCAAGAGGTCCACCTCCTCTGCCCTTCGAATGAACTTCTTCCGCCACACGTTGTAGTTGCTCCCGTTGAAGCGCTGGGCTTCACTGAGCCCGATCGTCGGTTTCGCCACCAATCGGCCACTCGCAAGGGCCTCGAGAAGAGCCTTCAACTGCGGGTCTCCAAGACTCACACTGGAACCCGAACTCGCCTCGTCTCCCATGGCGTAGGCGTGAACGACTCCTCTTCTCCACTAATTTCACTTAGCGCACCAAGTGAATTCACCGCGATCGACGCGCCCGTTCGCCAAGCTCTGATACCAGTTCTTAGGATCGTAAACACCTTAGTCGGCAATAGTCTACTTGCTATTGCTTATCGTGTTCTCTACGATCTCACGAATCCAACGATATGCGCAGCTCTGCTTGAAGTTGTCAATACACACTTCAGCAATTTTCAGAATCTCAATGTTGTCCAATGTTGTATTTCCAGAATGAGTACAAACAGGTTTATAGTCAAGCAAGTCACAAAATGCGATTCGTAACTTCACTTGTTTCCCAAGTAACCGCGTGCGCCTCGTTTCACCCCGAGTCGCACACGGAACCGAACTGAATTCGCCGAACACTCCTCGAGTCCGAATCCAGCACCTTCTCGAACACGCCTCAGTCTCGAACCACAATTTCCCCTTGTCAACTCCAATCTCGATACTTCTTCACTCTTCTTCCTCCATTTCTCTAGTTTCTTCCCAATTTCTCTCCCGCTTTTCACGCCTTAGCTTCCAACGTCCACCGCAGGCCGATTTCTACCGAAATCACTCTAGAATCTCCCACGAGCTCCATTCCGCCGCCATTCCGCATTTCACCGTAGGTTCCGTGGTTGGGCGAACCAACCCTAACAATCTCCCCTGTGGTTCGTCAACCACGAACACCACTCGCACTCCTCCCCTGCTCCTTGTAGCCTTCACAGGGTCTAAATTGGCTTCATGCTCCCCTGCATCTCCTGCACCTTGAACTTCTGCTTACGTGTCTTGATGGAGGGAGGGAGGATGGAGGGAGGACGGAGGGAGGACGGAGGGAGGACGGAGGGAGGACGGAGGGAGGACGGAGGGAGGACGGAGGGAGGACGGAGGGAGGACGGAGGGAGGACGGAGGGAGGACGGAGGGAGGACGGAGGGAGGACGGAGGGAGGACGGAGGGAGGACGGAGGGAGGACGGAGGGAGGACGGAGGGAGGACGGAGGGAGGACGGAGGGAGGACGGAGGGAGGACGGAGGGAGGACGGAGGGAGGACGGAGGGAGGACGGAGGGAGGACGGAGGGAGGACGGAGGGAGGACGGAGGAGGACGGAGGGAGGACGGAGGGAGGACGGAGGGAGGACGGAGGGAGGACGGAGGAGGACGGAGGGAGGACGGAGGGGAGGACGGAGGGAGGACGGAGGTGAGGACGGAGGGAGGACGGAGGGAGGACGGAGGGAGGACGGAGGGAGGACGGAGGGAGGACGGAGGGAGGACGGAGGGAGGACGGAGGGAGGACGGAGGGAGGGAGGGACGGAGGGAGGACGGAGGGAGGACGGAGGGAGGACGGAGGGAGGACGGAGGGAGGACGGAGGGAGGACGGAGGGAGGACGGACGGGGAGGACGGAGGGAGGACGGAGGGGAGGACGGAGGAGGACGGAGGAGGACGGAGGGAGGACGGAGGGAGGACGGAGGGAGGACGGAGGGAGGACGGAGGGAGGACGGAGGGAGGACGGAGGGAGGACGGAGGGAGGACGGAGGGAGGACGGAGGAGGACGGAGGGAGGACGGCTAGGGAGGACGGAGGGAGGACGGAGGGAGACGGGGGGAGACGGAGGTGAGGACGGAGGGACGGACGGAGGGAGGACGGAGGGAGGACGGAGGAGGACGGAGGGAGGACGGAGGAGGACTGAGGACGGAGGACGGAGGGAGGACGGAGGGAGGACGGAGGGAGGACGGAGGACGGAGGGAGGACGGAGGGAGGGACGGAGGGAGGACGGAGGGAGGACGGAGGGAGGACGGAGGGAGGACGGAGGGAGGACGGAGGGAGGACGGAGGGAGGACGGAGGGAGGACGGAGGGAGGACGGAGGGAGGACGGAGGGAGGACGGAGGGAGGACGGAGGGAGGACGGAGGGAGGACGGAGGAGGACGGAGGAGGACGGAGGGAGGACGGAGGGAGGAGGACGGAGGGAGGACGGAGGGAGGACGGAGGAGGACGGAGGGAGGACGGAGGGAGGACGGAGGGAGGACGGAGGGAGGACGGAGGGAGGAGGGAGGGAGGAGGGAGGGAGGAGGAGGGAGGACGGAGGGAGGACGGAGGGAGGACGGAGGGAGGACGGAGGGAGGACGGAGGGAGGAGGACGGAGGGAGGACGGAGGGAGGACGGGAGGGAGGACGGAGGGAGGACGGAGGGAGGACGGAGGGAGGACGGAGGGAGGACGGAGGGAGGACGGAGGGAGGACGGAGGGAGGACGGAGGGAGGACGGAGGGAGGACGGAGGGAGGACGGAGGGAGGACGGAGGAGGAGGGAGGACGGAGGGAGGACGGAGGGAGGACGGAGGGAGGACGGAGGGAGGACGGAGGGAGGACGGAGGGAGGACGGAGGGAGGACGGAGGGAGGACGGAGGGAGGACGGAGGGAGGACGGAGGGAGGGAGGGAGGGAGGAGGGAGGGAGGAGGGAGGAGGAGGGAGGGAGGAGGAGGGAGGACGGAGGGAGGACGGAGGGAGGACGGAGGGAGGACGGAGGGAGGACGGAGGGAGGACGGAGGGAGGACGGAGGGAGGACGGAGGGAGGACGGAGGGAGGACGGAGGGAGGACGGAGGGAGGACGGAGGGAGGACGGAGGGAGGACGGAGGGAGGACGGAGGGAGGACGGAGGGAGGACGGAGGGAGGACGGAGGGAGGACGGAGGGAGGACGGAGGGAGGACGGAGGGAGGACGGAGGGAGGACGGAGGGAGGACGGAGGGAGGACGGAGGGAGGACGGAGGGAGGACGGGGGAGGACGGAGGGAGGACGGAGGGAGACGGAGGAGACGGAGGAGGACGGAGGGAGGACGGAGGGCGCGGACGGAGGGAGGACGGAGGGAGGACGGAGGGAGGACGGAGGGAGGGACGGAGGAGAGGACGGAGGGAGGACGGAGGAGAAGGAGGGAGGGACGGAGGGAGGACGGAGGGAGGGACGGAGGGAGGACGGAGGGAGGACGTAGGGAGGACGGAGGGGAGGACGGAGGGAGGACGGAGGGAGGACGGAAGGGAAGGACGGAGGGAGGATGGAGGGAGGACGGAGGGAGGACGGAGGGAGGACGGAGGGAGGACGGAGGGAGGACGGAGGGAGGACGGAGGGAGGATGGGGCACATGAAAGGGGCTGGGCTGCGGACTGGCTAAAGAAACCTGAGGGGGAGTTAGTTTTGAGACGTCTCAAAAATCAGGTGCGTTGAAGGCCCTTCATAGAGGCGCACTGGCGGGCGTTTGGTTTGGACATTGCCATCTTAAAACGGTTATAAGACATCTTAAAAATGGGTTTTTATGTACCTCACCATGTGGACTAGTATGTGGAAGAAGATGTAACTTACAGGTGCCCTCTGTCAAACAGGTGCTTGAAGAGGCGGTTGAGAATCATGGCCTCAAGGTGGCTTTTGAGTCGACTCAGAAGTCACCTCAATCTTGTGACATGCAGGAATGGTGACATGCAGGAATGGTGACATGCAGGAATGGTGAGAGCAGTGAGAGCAGTGAGAGCAGTGAGAGCAGTGAGAGCAGTGAGAGCAGTGAGAGCAGTGAGAGCAGTGAGAGCAGTGAGAGCAGTGAGAGCAGTGAGAGCAGTGAGAGCAGTGAAGCAGTGAGAGCAGTGAGAGCAGAGCAGTGAGAGCAGTGAGAGCAGTGAGAGCAGTGAGAGCAGTGAGAGCAGTGAGAGCAGTGAGAGCAGTGAGAGCAGTGAGAGCAGTGAGAGCAGTGAGAGCAGTGAGAGCAGTGAGAGCAGTGAGAGCAGTGAGAGCAGTGAGAGCAGTGAGAGCAGTGAGAGCAGTGAGAGCAGTTGAGAGCAGTGAGAGCAGTGAGAGCAGTGAGAGCAGTGAGAGCAGTGAGAGCAGTGAGAGCAGTGAGAGCAGTGAGAGCAGTGAGAGCAGTGAGAGCAGTGAGAGCAGTGAGAGCAGTGAGAGCAGTGAGAGCAGTGAGAGCAGTGAGAGCAGTGAGAGCAGTGAGAGCAGTGAGAGCAGTGAGAGCAGTGAGAGCAGTGAGAGCAGTGAGAGCAGTGAGAGCAGTGAGAGCAGTGAGAGCAGTGAGAGCAGTGAGAGCAGTGAGAGCAGTGAGAGCAGTGAGAGCAGTGAGAGCAGTGAGAGCAGTGAGAGCAGTGAGAGCAGTGAGAGCAGTGAGAGCAGTGAGAGCAGTGAGAGCAGTGAGAGCAGTGAGAGCAGTGAGAGCAGTGAGAGCAGTGAGAGCAGTGAGAGCAGTGAGAGCAGTGAGAGCAGTGAGAGCAGTGAGAGCAGTGAGAGCAGTGAGAGCAGTGAGAGCAGTGAGAGCAGTGAGAGCAGTGAGAGCAGTGAGAGCAGTGAGAGCAGTGAGAGCAGTGAGAGCAGTGAGAGCAGTGAGAGCAGTGAGAGCAGTGAGAGCAGTGAGAGCAGTGAGAGCAGTGAGAGCAGTGAGAGCAGTGAGAGCAGTGAGAGCCAGTGAGAGCAGTGAGAGCAGTGAGAGCAGTGAGAGCAGTGAGAGCAGTGAGCAGTGAGAGCAGTGAGAGGAGCAGTGAGAGCAGTGAGAGCAGTGAGAGCAGTTGAGAGCAGTGAGAGCAGTGAGAGCAGTGAGAGCAGTGAGAGCAGTGAGAGCAGTGAGATCAGTGAGAGCAGTGAGAAGCAGTGAGAGCAGTGAGAGCAGTGAGAGCAGTGAGAGCAGTGAGAGCAGTGAGAGCAGTGAGAGCAGTGAGAGCAGTGAGAGCAGTGAGAGCAGTGAGAGCAGTGAGAGCAGTGAGAGCAGTGAGAGCAGTGAGTGAGAGCAGTGAGAGCAGTGAGAGCAGTGAGAGCAGTGAGAGCAGTGAGAGCAGTGAGAGCAGTGAGAGCAGTGAGAGCAGTGAGAGCAGTGAGAGCAGTGAGAGCAGTGAGAGCAGTGAGAGCAGTGAGAGCAGTGAGAGCAGTGAGAGCAGTGAGAGCAGTGAGAGCAGTGAGAGCAGTGAGAGCAGTGAGAGCAGTGAGAGCAGTGAGAGCAGTGAGAGCAGTGAGAGCAGCTCTCTCAACACTCGCAGTCCTCAGCACTCACAGCTCGTGGAAGAAGAGGTCCATCATCATGGTCTTGCCCGTGCCCACGCCGCCCCACAGGTACAGCCCCCTCATGGGCGGGTGGCTCTGTGGTTTCCGCATGAACAGCGACCAGAAGGCCGGCCGCCGCTTCCTCCTGCCCAGTGTTGGGGGGGGGGGGATGGGGATGGATAGGGTAGACATTCAGAGGGGGGCTATGGCGAAGAGAGCAGATACAGCCCCCTCATGGGCGGGTGGCTCTGCGGCTTGCGCATGAACAGCTACAAGAAGGCCGGCCGCCGCTTCCTCCTGCCCAGTGTTGGCACGAGGGTTGTGCATGGAAGGAGAATGACCACAATGAACAACATGCGAACTGCACGCTGCTGGAAAGCAGAAACCTTGGTGAGAGTGGCGATGGAGAAGTGGAGAGCGAAGCACGCTAGAGAGAGGAGGAAGGTAGGTAGAGAGGGGGGATGGGAGGAGGAGGGGAGGGAAGGAGGAGGGGGGGAAATGAGACGGGAGGGATAAGGGGAGGGAAATGGGGGAAAGTGGGGAGGAAGGGTTCGAGAAGGGGAGGGAAAAGGGGGGGCGTGGGTGGTGGGATGGAAAAGGGAATGGCATGCTTACTTTTGCAGCTGGAACTCGGGATGGCCTCCAAATCCGATCAACACATCCTATAGCTTCTACAGCGTCCCCACCGTTTCGTCCTGAAACGGATCTCTCATTCCCGAAACGGGTCACCCTTTCGCAGCTCCCCCAGCTGCTCTCTGAATGTTCACATAAACCAACCAGCTAGACACTTGAGCTTACTTCTGCAGTTGGAACTCGGGGTGGCCTCCAAAGCCAATTAGCACGTCGAACAGCTTCTGAAGCGTCCCCACAGTTTCGTCCTGAAACGGATCGCCCATTCGCAGCTCCCCCAGCTGCTTTCGCCGCTCGTACTCGCCTTGCGGGCCCGCTCGGAAGACCTTGACTGCCAGGTAGGGTTACATGGCAATGTGTGTCCTCACATTTTTTTTCTCGAAATTCTCATTGTGCGTGTTGTTGGCATTGTCCTTTCAAACTGTGCGGCTTCTTGAATCGTGTCAATGGCGCTTCTCCCTTCAATACAGAACCGCTGAAATTGGAAATGCGTGGGCCTCATGTATCCGTTAGAGATTCATCCATCATGTGCGGCATACCTTCAGGAGCTCAGGCCGGAAGAGCATCGCCTGACGACGCTGCCGAGTTCCAGAATCTCTGTTGAATGAACCCGTTACAAGACCACCTCTGACTAAATCCGTTAAGAGCACACTCCGGTACAACTACTGCTGCGCTTGTTCTACAGTCAGTCAAACTTGCCGGTACTAAGCTTCTAGTATGTCGCACTGTACATGCTGATTGTTGACTCCATTCTTGCACTGCTTCTGGTCTGGCTATGGCTCTTTGGTCGGCGAGAATCAACCTCGGGGGGAACGTTATCCCCGTTATTAGCCTAGTTATTCTTCGGAATCTAGACATGCCTGTTTTGAATGCAGCTCTTAATCGGCTTACAGTCCTGCGGTGGCACCCAGTTCCCGTCTGTTGCTCCAATCGATAACCGATCCCTCTTGCGGTGATCCAAGATCCAACGGCTGATCTAGCAGCTTCCAGATTCAGGCGACAATGTTCCGCGTGGCCCGCAGCCTATCCTAACGAGCGGCATGATGGTAACGGGTCGATGGACGACCGTGGGAAGAGCGAGCGCACGTCAGCGGTGTCCAGAAATTACGAGCTTAACCAATCACTTAGCTAACAAAACCGTTTATAATAGCGGAATGGATGTGATGCGATAGCATCTGTGTTTAGTGCGAATCCGCAATGCGGCTGCAAGCAGTTGTGAGTGCGCTACAATGAACGACGCAGCTGTGAACGAGCGGTTGAAGCACGGAGCGAAAATGTATGTGAAGAGTAATGTTATTGCCGCCTGACAGGCGACGGTATGAGAAACTCGCCAGTCCTAGGCTAAAAAAACCCAATCAAGCTCGCGCAAGCCCCATGCTCCGTCACAAAACCAGCCTCAGGAAGACTTGGCGCTTGTGAATCAGAACAAGCTGCAATTATGGCTCCAGTAAAGCACAAACAGCATTGCACCGTGAAGCTTGTCACTTCAGATTCAGGGCCACGGGAATGGAGTAGTTGGCGGGAAACAATTCCCTTTGGTCAAGTCGGCGGATGACGTGGATGCGAGAGCCCGTGTGACGCAAGCACCAGATCAGCAATAGGCTGCAAAATGTCAGCACACCTCCTGGTTGGCTGGAGCCCGTTCAACTTGATAATTACACCATAAACGTTTGCCATTATTTCAATGCAACGCATATTGACTGAAGTCGTTGAGAATAGATTCAGCATGATGTCGATTCGCAGAAAAAACATCCACAACAACAGTTAATTCTGTAATTTATCAATGGAAACGCATCACATGAAACATGGTGAAATATTCACTATGCATGGGAACTGAACTTGTATGTTGTATATTCCACTTCATTGGTTTCAGGGTCTACAATCTTTGCTTATAGCAGATGCGCCACTCATGCAGCATTCTCTTGAATTCTCTGGACTGTTGTCGAGCCAGAAAAGTTGACGAGTCAAACGGGCCCAGTCAGCTATTCTCAAGGTTGCGATGATGAGGGTCAGCGCACTTCTGAATCCGTTGTCAAGCAATTTCTCCGATTCGTGATCGCAGCGCTCGCAGAAAGTTTGCGAATTTCACGATCTCAGTTTGGAGCCTTTCGCCCACATTTGTTTCCCGAGCGACCTGTTATGTGCTGTCGCCGGTCTTCGCGGTGCGATTTCTCTCCGTCCAGTTTTGCAGAGGGGCAATCCATGCAGATAAATTGAACGGAATGCGGAAATCAAAACACAACACAGAGACAGTGGCAGACATTCTACGATTTCTAGAAATAGAATTGCTTGCAGCACATTTTTCCCAAAAAACGGTGTGACACTTGCTTCCCAGAAGTTTTTCAGAGGCTAGTCTCCCTTCGCCATGCATCGACGCAAGGCGATATCTCCTGCTAGTATAGCAGACAGCAGCGGCGTGATTCTTCTACTGCTGCTGGGCTCTGCGCTCCTCTGCTTCCCAAGCGCGACTAACGGCGCGAGGCACACGGCGCTAAGGTCACAGGGAGTAGCAACGAGCAGCCGGACCATAGCGCACACGATATGGACGTCCGGAAGCACGTTCCTTCGCGGCAATATCAATGGTCAAAGGAGCAGCAGTGGCAGCACTCCAGTTGCGGCTACTACAACCACCGGCGCTACTACAACCGTCGCTGCTGGCTCCGCGGCTGCTAAAACCGCGGCGGCGGGCTCGGGGTGCGCGGCGTCGGCGCTGGAGGGGTTCGCGTGGTCGGCGGCGCTGGGGTCCACTGGACTCACGCTGCATTGGCGCGCAGTGGACTCGTCGCGCCTCGCCTTGGCGCTGGAAGCGGCGGGCGGCAGCACGGCGGCGGCAGGGTGGTTCGCCGTGGGGTGGTCGGCGACGGGCCGCATGGCGGCGTCCGACGCCGTGGTGGGCAATCTGGCGGGCGGCGCCGCTGTCCAGGCGGTGTACATGAGCGGCACGGCGCAGAGCGACGTTCAGCCCACAAGCAGCTTCGATATTGGCAACGCGCAGCTCGCCACGTCACCCTCGGGATCCACCATTCTCAAGTAAGACGGGGCGCTGGTTTGGAATGTTGCGGTTTGTCCTTGGGAACGTATCAGGGTTTGGGGTTCTGGGTACTACTTGACAGTTTTAGGTTTCCTATATTTTCTCTCTCAATCTCTCTTTTCACTTTGAATCTTGCACTCACACACACCCTCCCCAACACCCCCCCACCTCCCCCCCCACTTCCCCCTCTCGATCTCAGGTTCAACCGCTCAGCAGGAGACGGGTCGGTGCCAGTGAGCGTGCAGGGCAGCAACACGCTCGTGTGGGCGCACTCCCCCGATGGCTCGCAGACGCTCGGCTTCCACGGCGACTATGAGTGAGTTCAGGCACTCATGGCTTCATTTACTTCCTCGCAACTTCCTTAGCTTCCACCACTGGGTGATTCTTCTCACGCTCCTGCTTTTCTGTTTTCCCCTCTTCCTGTCCCAATCCCCTACTCTCCCTCTCTCTCGCTCTGGCCTCATTTTCAACTCTCGTTCTCTCCCCCTCCCATTTTCTCCCTCGCCCCTCCTCGCAGTGGCGCGCTTCAAGTGGACTTCGCGTGCTCCTCTGCCTCGTCCGGAGGGGGAGGGGGTGGCGGCACTGGTGGGGGCGCGGGGGGAGGCACTGGCGGAGGTGGGGGCGACTATGGGGGTGACTACAACGGGGGGAACAACGGGGGGAACAACGGGGGAGGTGATTACGGTGGTGGTAATGGCGGGAACGGAGGAGGCTATGGCGGTGGCAGCGGCGGTGGGGGTAATGGTGGCGGAGGGGGCAATGGTGGGGGAGCAGGAGGCGGAGGAAGGGGAGGCGGTGGGGGGGACTGCAGGGGAGGGCCTGGGGGCGGACATGGGGTACCTGGGGGGGGACAAGGGGGCCCTGGGGGCGGTCAGGGCAGACCTGGGAGCGGGCGAGGCGGGCCAGGTGACGGGCAAGGGGGAGCCAGTGGGGGACAGGGCGGATATGGGGGCGGACAGGGCGGACCTGGAGCTGGGGGCGGGCAAGGGGGAGCTGGGGGCGGGCAAGGGGGAGCTGGGGGCGGCAATGGTGGTGACTACAGCAATGGGGGGGGCTACAGCGGCGGTAATGGCGGAGGCAGCACAGGCGGACAAGGTGGTTACTACAGCGCTACAGGAGGAGGAGGGGCTGCTGGTGAGGGTGCTGGTGGTGGGGGTGCTGGGGGTGGTGGTGCTGCTGGTGGTGCTGCTGGTGGTGCTGCTGGTGGTGCTGCTGGTGGTGCTGCTGGGGGTGCTGCTGGTGGTGCTGCTGGGGGTGCTGTTGGTGGGGGCTGTGGGGGAGGACAAGGGCAAGGCGGGGGACCTGGGGGACAGGGGGGAAGTGGGGGAGGGCAGGGCGGACCTGGTGGGGGACAGGGGGCCCCTGGAAGCGGGCAAGGGGGAGCTGGAGGCGGGCAGGGCGGACCTGGGGGTGACTATGGTGGGGGGAGCAATGGCGGTGACTATGGTGCTGGTAATGGCGGTGGTGACTATAGTGGGGGGAATGGAGGGGATTACAACACTGGTGGTGACTACAGCGGGGGGAACACTGGAGGGGGCTATGGTGGCGGCAATGGTGGTGACTATAACGGGGGGAGCAATGGTGGTGACTATAACGGGGGGAGTAATGGTGGTGACTATAGCGGGGGGAGCAATGTTGACTACAGTGGGGATTATAGTGGAGGGACTGGCGGCGGCAGTCAGGGCGGCAGTCAGGGCGGCCCATCGGGGGGTATGAGTGGCGGGGGAGGCATGGGCGGTGGTGCTGCTGGCGGGGGAATGGGTGGGCCTGGAGGCATGGGCGGTGGAGGCATGGGCGGTGGAGGCATGGGCGGTGGTGCTGCTGGTGGTGGTCTGGGTGGGGCTGGGGGAATGGGAGGGGGCGGGGGCATCGGAGGGGGCGGAGGAATGAGAGGGCCTGGAGGAGGTGGGATGGGCGGAGGGGGAGGGATGGGCGGAGGAGGAGGGATGGGCGGAGGAGGAGGGATGGGCGGAGGAGGAGGGATGGGCGGAGGGGGAGGGATGGGCGGAGGAGGAGGGATGGGCGGAGGAGGAGGGATGGGCGGAGGGGGAGGGATGGGCGGAGGAGGAGGGATGGGCGGAGGGGGAGGGATGGGCGGAGGGGGAGGGATGGGCGGAGGAGGAGGGATGGGCGGAGGAGGAGGGATGGGCGGAGGGGGAGGGATGGGCGGAGGAGGCATGGGAGGAGGCAGGCGTTAGTAATCTTGGTTGCAGGCAGCCATGCGGGCAGCCATGCATGCAAACACGTGCCTCAAGCATTTCTCAAGTGTCACTCAAGGCAGGTGGGGGCGGACAAAGCATAGGGACAAGGGACTGGCCATGGGGATGGGCAGTGAATGGATGGACTTTGATTCACCTCAAGCTTCATTGCACCTGCTCCTGAGGTGCATCAAAGCCCAACCATAAGTCAAGGCTTGCTTCTGATTATCTGTTCTCGATGGTTTCCTTTCGTTAAATCTCGATGCTCATACCGTATGTGGAGCTGGCTGACTGCTCCTGACGTTTGCAATGCATGTTTGTAGTTCCGGTGTAAACAAGCATTACCCTATTATGCTTGCAAGCTGTTGTTGCATTGGTGCCTTCGTTTCAGCGCTAGCAACACGTTGCTAGCATGACATCCATAATCTCGGTACCATGAATATCTACCATACGCTTCAAAGCAGTTACATTTAGGTAGCAATAACCTCCATGCATCTCGCTTACAAGAGCAGTGCTTGGGCCACACGGGCGGCATGCAACGAGCTGGTCACCCACAGGCCACAGCAGGAGTGACCAGCTGCAGAGGCATGGGCGGTGCTGCTGCTGGCGGTGGCCTGGGGGGGCTGGGGGAATGGGAGGGGGCAGGGGAATGGGAGGGGGCAGGGGAATGGGAGGAGACAGGGGAATGGGAGGGGGTGGGGGAATGGGAGGGGGCAGGGGAATGGGAGGGGGTGGGGGAATGGGAGGGCCTGGGAGGATGACTGGCGGAGGAGGGATGGGAGGAGGAGGGATAAGCGAAGGGGAAGGGATGGGGGGAGGAGGCATGGGGAGAGGAGGAGGCATGAGGGGAGGAGGCATGAGGGCGTGGTGGTGGTGGAAGGCGTTGAGGGTTCCTGGCTGACGAGGTGTGGCAGGCACAGCAACACCAATCAGAGGGCGGCGCGGCGCGGCTCGGCAGGGTGGCGCGGCGTGGCAGGGAGTAGGGCGGCGCGGCGTGGCAGGGAGTAGGGCGGCGCGGCGTGGCAGGGAGTAGGGCGGCGCGGCGGCCGGCAGGCGGCCGTGGGCGGCAGCGCGGGCTGCGGGGAGGCGCGGGCGGCAGCGCGGGCAGCAGTGCGGGGCAGTGCGGGGTGCAACGCGGGCGGCAGCGAAGGCGGGTCAGCGTGCGTGGGGCAGCGCGGGGCAGCGTGCGTGGGGCAGCCAGCAGCAGGTCACGTGGTAGGGCAGTAGCGCGCACTAAGGCAGCAGCGCGTAGGGCAGTAGGGCAGGCAGAACGAACCTACTCGATGATACTATGTTAGAAACTAGGAACAGCGGAATGAGTTTGACTAGCAGGAGATGGGTACATGTAGGAAACCCTAGAAGTGTTGTATTCAATACTGTGCACCTCACTGCAGCCTAACAAACCTAACAAACATATGAATATGTTGACAAACCTCCCTGTGTGGATGCAGTGCAGCCATCAGTATCATGTGGAGTGCCCATCTAAGTACACTCGTTTGTTTCCTTACTTGTTGTCACTTGTTCTCCCCCCCCACCCCACCCCCCCTCCCCCCCATGCATTGCGAGCGCCGCTTCCTACACTCAAGGCATGTGCCCGCGTGCGAATGCGTATGTGGTGGGGACAGGTGACAGGTGCACGGGCATTCAGGTGAAGTTCTTCCGGGGCATCAAGGGCTGCTACAGGCACGTCAACGTATACAACTGCATCGACAAGCTTGTCAAAGCAACCCGCGTGTGCCTGCCTGACAAAGTCGAGCTTCAGAAAGGAGAGTGCGACAACTGACTTGCTCAACTCGCTTGAAAAACGAAGAGGGAGGAGAGACATGCTCAACTCGCAAAGCTCCCATCACAAGGCGAATGCTCATACCATTCTTTGCCTCTGAGACAATCTTTCAGGCACGCCGGCACATGGGGCATGGGGCCATCGCATGTGACTCTGAAATGGCGGAGCGACGTGAACGCGGAGAGGAAAGGCGGGAGAGAGTGCAAGCGGCGCCAGTGGAGAAGGTCGAGACGAGTGAGGCGGGAGAATTTCACCAGTGAGGATGGGAGTCGGGGCAGGTCGCAGCGGCAGATTTGAAGCGTGGAGAGGAGAGGGGGGCAGGTGAGATAGGGCTCGGAGCAGCCTCTGGTGATGTTGGAGAGGCAGAGGGTGCGCAGAGAGGAGAAGCAGGAGAGGCATGCAAGGAAGTCCCGGCAGTCAGCGTTGTCAACCACCAGAGTGGTGAGCGCTGTGAGCTGCGTCAGCTGAGGGTCCCTGTCATATCCCCACAGGTTTACATGGTCCAAGTGCAGGAAGCGGAGGCTACGAGAGAATTCAGTATCCACATTCAAGGACACATATCGGCTGCCAGAGAGTGTCATGTGCTCCAGGGCAGGGAAGAGCGACATATCCACACCAGGGCTTGACGTCACCAGCTGCAGCACCTTGAGCTTGTGAAACACAGGCGCCCTCCATTCACCGCCGTTGCTGCCGCGCCAGGCCACCGCCGTTGCTGCGCCGTTGAGGTTGCTGCCAGAAAGGTCTGCCGAGATGCAAATGCCGTAGTCGGCTCGGACGTTAAGCTGCTCCAGGGATGGTGCCACGTGCGCGATGAGCCGAGCGATGTGCACGGTATCTTCTGTGCATCGCACGCACAGGCGACGCAGACGGGGCAGGCAGGGCAGGCAGGCTAAGCTGTCGCAAGCGAGGAAGAGGTGGTGCAGGCGAGTGAGACGAGAGAGGCCGTGGTAGAGGGAGCAGGGCGGGGTGTTGTTGACTCCGTACTCGTATGCCCAGTGGAGGGATGGGAGAGAGAGGGAGGTGAGGCGGGTGAGGTGGCGAATGAGAGGAGGGAAGAATAGGTAGTGGGAGAGAGAGAGGGAGGTGAGGTTGCAGAGAGGCAGCAATCTCTCATCAGTGAGTCGTGAGTCAGCGCGTGCATTGGCAAGCCGGTTGCTTTGCTCCTCCTCCTCATTGCTTTCTTCCTTTGCTCCTACCTCCTCCTCCACTTCCTCCTCCTCCTCTTCCTCCTCCGCTCCCACCCCTGGCTCCGCGTCATCCAGTCCCGGAATACGCAGGTTAGTGTCGAGGCGAGTGAGGGAAGTGAGGCAGGAGAAGGAAGAGGGCATGCCGGTGGTGGGGAGGTGCAGGGAGAGGGCGGAGAGGCAGGAGGGCAGACCCAGCAGCAGCTCCTCCGAGACGCTGGTCCAGCTGCTGCCGTCCTCAGGGAGCTGGTAGTAGAGGCTGAGGGTCTTAGGCACATGCAGGGAGAGGGAGTGGAGGGAGCGGAGGTGGGAGAAGGGGGCCGGGAGGGATAGGCAGTCAGGCATGGGGTCTTCTGGGAGGGCGAGGGCCAGGGAGGTGAGGTGTGAGAGGAGGAGGAGGGAGGAGGGGAGGCGGTAGAGAGGGAGGGAGAGGGCTGTGAGTTGTGGGCAGCGGAGGAAGAGAGAGTGGGGGAGTTTGAGTCTGTCTGAGAGGTTCTCCCCTTGAATGTGCAGCTGCTTGAGTCCCCGGCATCTCTTCAGCACGGCAAACAGCCACCTCTCCATCTCCTCGTTCGCCTCTCCCCACCATCGCCGCACCTTTTTCTCCATCCCAGCAGCCGCCCACCATTCCTCCCGCCCATGGCCAAACAATCGCTGGACCTTTTTCTCCACCCCAGCAGCCTCAAACCAGTCATCCTGCCCATAGCCCCTCTCGCAGTTGGCTGAGAAGCCGGGCTCTAGGAGCAAGGAGAGGGAGGTGAGAGCAGGGTGAGCGGCAGCAGCAGTAAGCAGAGACCCCAGATGGGAGGGGCGGAGGGGGCAGGCCGTGGTGGAGACGAGGGGAAGGGCGAGCGTAGAGAGGTTGGGGTAGTGGGCGAGGGTGTGGGTGAGGGAGGAGGGGGAGGGGAGAGAGGCGAACCATAAAGGGGAGAGCCTCGGAGAAGTGGAGCGGGAGGTGGCCAGCTGGTGGGTGAAGCAGGTGGAGAGGGAGGAGGGGGTGATGGGAGGGGGGAGGGTGAAGGGAGGGTGGGAGGAGGGGAGCAGGGAGAAGGGGGAGGTGGGGGAGGAGTGGATGACCCAGAACGGAGAGTGGGAGGGGAGCCACGAAGAGGAGAAGAGAGAAGAGGAGGAGGAGGAGAGAGGGGGGTGGAGCAGGGGGATGGGCAGCCAGGTGAGCGTGAGGGGGTGGAGGGCGAGGGCGAAGCAGGAGGTGAGGAGGCGGCACCAGTGGTGCCACTCGCGCCACACCAGTCTCACTCTCGCCTCGTCCACTGGACTCTGCACCCGCTGCAACACGCCTTGTAGCACCTCCCATGGTAGCTGCAACAGCTGCGTGCTGCCGGCAATGCTGCTGCTGCTGCTGCTGCTGCTGCTGCTGTTCTGCCCATGCTGTAACACCTCTGCTGGTAACACCTCTGCTGGTAACACCTCTGCTGGTAACACCTCTGCTGGTAACACCTCTGCTGGTAACACCTCTGCTGGTAACACCTCTGCTGGTAACACCTCTGCTGGTAACACCTCTGCTGGTAACACCTCTGCTGGTAACACCTCTGCTGGTAACACCTCTGCTGGTACCTCCTCTGCTGGTAACACCTCTGCTGGTAACACCTCTGCTGGTAACACCTCTGCTGGTAACACCTCTGCTGGTAACACCTCTGCTGGTAACACCTCTGCTGGTAACACCTCTGCTGGTAACACCTCTGCTGGTAACACCTCTGCTGGTAACACCTCTGCTGGTACCTCCTCTGCTGGTAACACCTCTGCTGGTAACACCTCTGCTGGTAACACCTCTGCTGGTAACACGTCTGCTGGTAACACCTCTGCTGGTAACACCTCTGCTGGTACCTCCTCTGCTGGTACCTCCTCTGCTGGTACCTCCTGTGGTGTTAACAGCGATTGGTCGTGCGAAACATGCTCGCTGTCAGACACGTCCTTGCATGAGCCTCTCATCTCCACCTCCTGTACCCCTTGCACCAACTCATCTCCCTGCTCCGTCTGATGCTGCGCCTGCTGCTGCTTGTCCCCCCCATCTCCCTGACAAATCGACTCCCCCACCCCTTCCTCTTCCCTCCCCACCTGCCGCCACCACTCCCTCTGCTCCTCCTTCTGCTCCTCACTCAACAATGATCCCTCAAACACACTCTGACATTTCATCTTCCTCCTCCTCTCCTCCTCGATTTCCCACTGAGTCTTCGGTCTCCTCCCTTGGTGCTCCTGTCCCCGCCACTTCCGCTCCTCCTCCTCCTCCTGCTTTCGCGCCCAGCCTCTCCCCTGCAGATACCCTTCGAGGCCCACCGGCACCACAACAGGTTTGTTGCCACGATCGAAGGAGAAGTGGGTGAGGGAGGAGAAGGAGGAGAGGAAGGAGGGGAGGGCGATGAGCGGCACACACTGGAAGAGGTGGAGGCGAGTGAGGGAGGAGAAGAGGCGGAGGGAGTCGGGGAGGAAAGCAGTGTTGGAGTGGCAGATTTGGAGGGATTTGAGTGAGGGAGGGCAGGAGAGGGCGGAGTGGTAGTTGTGCATGGAGAGGTTGAAGATGCGGAGGGAAGTGAGGGAGGGGAAGAGGGCGAGCGAGGCGAGGAAACGCGAGGAGTGCGGGTAGGACCCCACTATGAGCGTGCGCAGGTGTGGCAGCACGGGGAGGGGCGCACGTGGGGGGGAGTGGATGCGCAGGAAGGTGAGTTTGGGGAGGAGGGGCGGGAGGATGGTGGGTGCGTGCAAGTGGGGGTGGGACGGCCATGGGGTGTTGTGGATGGCCAAGTGGGTTAGGCGGGGCAGGAGGCCCATGAATGCGAGTGTACGCTGCTGCTGTTGCTGCTGTGGGCCTGTGTGCATGTGTGCATGGCTTCTCACATTGCGGAGCACAAGCTCCTCAAGGAAAGGGAAGATGCTCGCAGGTAGCTTCTCTGCTACACCACATCCGACCTCCCCTTCATCACATGCGCCCTCCCCCTCACCACATGCGCCCTTTTCCACATCCCCCTCCCCAAGATCCTCCCCCTTTGCCTCCCATGATGCCTCCCCCCACCCGTGCACAGCCACGAGGGGCGAGCCTTGGATCTTGAGCGACTGCAGCTGAGGGCACAGCCGCCCCCACACCACCAATGGGATGACGCCAGCTGTCCCCGTGAGAGTGACGTGGCGGAGGGAGGCTGACGAAGGGGTTGCTTCGGGGCACAAGGGAGGTTCGGCGAGACCAGTTACAGGTTCGCTGTGGCAGAAGGTTGGTTTGGCAGAACCCTCACCATTCACGTGCAGATGAGACAAACGGGGCCAGTGGGCGAAGAGGGTGAGAAAAGTGGGGGATTGGAGAGGAGAGGCGAGGGGGATGGAGAGGAGAGTGAGGGAGGAGAGGGAGAAGAGGCAGGGAGGGAAGGTGCGGTAAGCGAGGAGGGAGAGAGAGGTTAGGTTACAAAGGGAGGCTAGGCACTGACAATGGTGCGGGTGTGTAGAATCGTCGTTGCCAGAGGAAGAGGATGGGCAGCAGCAGCACGAAGGGGAGGGAGCCAGAGGGTGGGAGGCGTGGGGGGGGAAGAGGGCGTTGAGTCCTGTGCAGTCCCAGCCGCCTCCCACGTTGGTGGTGAGGTGCTGCAGGCGCGTGAGCGACCACAGCGAGGCAGGCAGCCAGCACACCACCTCGTCCTCCCCACCCCACCCATCCCCCACCCATTCCCCACCCTCCTCCACCCCACCGCCTCCTCCCTCCGCCCTCCCACCACGCCTTTTCCTCCTCTCCCACTCCACCCCTCTCGGATTCGCACACACTAGGAACGTCAAGGACCGCAGGCTTGGTCCGAGCCCAGCAAACAGGTCCGGCGAGAGAGGCTCGGAAAGGCCGGTGGTGGGTGATCCAAGGGAGAGGTGGAGGAGGGAGAGGAGGGAGAGAGATTGGAAGGGTCGACCGGAGAGGAGGAGGGGATGGTGGGGAGCAGAGAGGGAGAGGCGGAGAGAGCGGAGGGAGGAGAGGTGGGGAAAGAGGTAAGAGGGGAGATCGAAGAGAGGCAGGGAGAGGTGGGCGAGACGGGAGAGCAAGGCAGCTACTTCTTCACTGATTGTAAGGTAATTCTTACTACAGAGGATGAAGTGCAGTGAGTGTAGATGAGGACAACTCGATATAAGCTGCCTCAGCTGCTCCGCCTGAGTGTGCTTCTTCCATTCCCAATCCATGGGCTTTGTCAGCTCCTCATGAAACGGGCACCAGCAGTATCTCGGCAGCTCAGAGACAAGGTGCAGCGACCGCAGGTTCACGCATGAGCGCGCGAAGGCCATCATATCGGAAAGCTGCCACGCCCACTCCGAGGATATGTCGAGAGTCACGGGCATGTGAAGCGCGCTCACGTGCTGATGCTGTCGCGACAGCCGCTGCCCGAGACGCGTGTGCAAGCCCGCGGGAAACCGAAGCGGCCTGATAACCAGGCGCTCGTCCTTGGAGAGAGACGATACGGGGTCGGAGCAGCCAAAGTCGCAGAAGTAGAAGCCGCCACGAGTCACGCGCCCCAGCTGCTCCATGCCCATCAGGTCGTCGCTTAGGAATCGCGCTGCATGCCGCCTCTCTGCCGCTGCCCCTGCTCCCACATCTGCCTCGGTTGCGGCTGCGAGTGCAGGCGCTGGTGGCGAGGACGGAGGTGACAAGTCGGAGGGGGAGTGAGATTCAGGACCTCTCGCCCAGATTCCCACGCGCGGAGGATCTTCCGTCGCAAAGCGCGGCGATTCGCCCGACTCAAGGCGCGGCGGGTCGTCCATGTCAAGACGCGGCGGGTCGTCCGTGGTCCACAGCATCGCCCGCGACGGGCACCACGGCTCTTCCAAGCAGTCACGGCACGTGCTGCGCCACGTGCAGGTTGGCTGGCTGTCAGCGCTACTGGCTGACTCTCCGTGCCCGAGTTTCACGAGGCGCCATCGAAGCCAGTGCGCGTCGAACAAGCACGCGAGCGCTGTGCTGCTGATTGACTCGGCGGTGGTCTCCGAACTCATCGTCGCACGGAGCGCGCTCGCCGCGAGGAGCCGCGCGCGAAACGCGACAGCTCAAGCTTTTTGCCTTTTAAGAGACGACGGTAAGCGGTGACGGGTGGATTCGACGGCCAGATTATGGGCCGGCGACACGCGATCTTCGAAGCGAACTAAACCTTAAAGCCGCGAAGTTCAACTCAAAGTATTATAGCTTGGAAGAGGTTGACCTAGGCAGTTCACAGGCGAGAGGTTTGTCTTGTTGCGAAACTCGAGTTTTTTCGACCAATAGAAGTCCAATTACGCACAAGCAGTTTTTGTCCTGATACTGTTCCTAAGAAGTTGCACCGCGGCTTTAACGTTGCGTCGCAAGTCACTTGAGCTACTACTGTTTCTGACTAAGACTTCTTTTTTGCGAGACGAAAGTAACCCTAAAGTGACGGGCCAGTAACTTTTCAGTTGTTTTTTGCGATTCCCTTTTCCGCGAGGTAGGATAACAGCTTGGTGACACTCTATCAAAGGTAGGAAGGATGAGGCAATCTAGAAGAACTTGAGACTCCGGTTGTTTGCGCAGAGTTGGTTGCTTTGGCTGTGCCATGTTTGGGCCATCCATGCCCATTTATGTGGAGGGTGGGTGGGTGTTGGTTGCGGGAAATGATCAAAGTGGGGCCGTACAGTGCCAGAGAGGTGACCAACCAGGGGCCGAGAGGCCCGGAACTGACCAAACCGCTGCGCGAGGAGCGATTAACAGAGAGGTTCGTCATGGCTTGCATTTTCTCTCACACCTCAATTCTCTTTGGATATCGTAAATGATTCGTTTTTTCCACCTTGTAGCGTCGTTTAGCGTGCAAGGTAGCGTTACTGGCCGTACCGGGAAATGTTAGGGCAGCCCAAAAAAACTAAAACCAACAGATAATCTGGACGCATTTTTGGGATGGATCAACCCTAAACACGGCAACTCGTCTGATGTTTCGGGTTGATGCCTCCCGAGTGGCATCCGTTTCCGAACGGGTTTTATTTTTTTACGTCAGCTAAAGTGATGAAATGTTTTCGGAAAACGATTATGCATATCTGTTCTCAATAATGTAAACTTGATGAAACCTACTTCCAGATGAATGCGATGCAAGCTTCGTATTAGGCGGCGATCAGAACATACGAAAACAACATTGAGCCAAGAAAGTCGAGCTTTTAGTAATTTCCTTTAAATCGTGGTTCGGATTCTCGGCCCAACCACTTGGGCAGCCCCGGAGATATATCCAACGGTTGGGATTAACCCGGCCCTAATCTGGTCACCTCCCTGCTATTGTTCGGCCCCTATTTGATCTTTTCCCATTGGTTGCTTTGGCTGTGTGTGAGGGCAGAAATCTACTGCTTTCGTTCGCACCAAGCTAGGCCAGGCGAAAGAGCTGTAACAAGACACTGTACCGGAAACATGTGGGTGGAGGCGATTATGCGGACTGCGACTTTCCGTGGTGGGTCTAGGAAGCCCACAGCTGTTTGTTGCTGGGTGTGACTGCGTCAACGAAAACCGCTGAATCCGTGCGACCATAGCGAAACCAGACACGCTGGCAATGTCCCGTTTGACCGCAGAGAAAATCCCGTAGCGCGCGCCATGTATGGCGTGTGAAGTAGGGCGGGGCTGCTACAGATGTTCTCGCTTAAGAGCCCGCGCTAAAACGACCCCTTTTACGAAACGAGGAGCTTTTGCATATAATTCCTAGATGTAGCCCCTCCTCTACAAGCCCTTTTGGCGGGAATCTTTGCCGCGTGACAGGGTTGTTAACTGTTCCGTGCACGAAATCAGCTCCGCAGCCAATCAGAGGACTCGAATTGAACCCAACCTGCAATCGGGTCAATTACTTTAATAGGTGAAAACTGTTTTTTTATATTTCTCGTTAGCTTCTTCATCTCATCGCGTGTTTTTCACCACGCTTGACGATGACATCTCTTGAAGCGCGCTGACCGTCATTTGAAAACCAAGAATTCCGTAAATAATGGCATAAACAGTAAGGATTTTGTGTATTTCTGCCCGTCGGTCAAGCGACTTTGACCATAGAAGAGAACCGTGCGATGCGAAGTTGAAGCAAGCGCGGTCACAATGTAAAAACCAGTAGCGAAGAAAAACCGCTTTCAATGCAATTTTACTTAATTTGGGACTAAAAGGTCCCGTTTGCCCGGGGTTTTCAAGTTTTGCCACAAGAGCCCGCGCGGTGCGTGTTTTGCTCCGGGATCTTAAGCAAGAACATCTGTAACGAGATTCAGGGGGTTTTGCATGAGTTCATACAGTTCCATGACTCGTTTGGCTCAACAGAATAACGAGTCAGACAGCCAAACGAGCCTGGAAGTTGAAGAGTCAAACGAGCCTGGAAGAATAACGAGCCCAGTCAGCCACTCTTTAGGTCGCGATGACCATGGTCAGCGCACTTCTGAATCCGTCGTCAAGCAATTTCTCAAATTCAGAATCGCAGCGCTCTCAGAAAGCTATCAGAAACTTCTCGGGTTTCGTGAGCTCAACTCGTAGCCATTCGTCCGTTTTCTTTTCCCATCGGAAAATTGGGCGGTGTTCGCCAGCACCTTTGAAAGCAAAAACGACGGGATCACAAAGTCCAGTCACGCCTTCCTGATCCCGTGAGTTATGTTGTAGAGGACTCTCCTCTACTTTGCAGGAACTGGGAGTTGTTCTAAACGATAGAGCTCTGTCTTAGCTTTCCAACGAGCCGTCACACACGTCGATCGCCTAAGTATCCGCCGAGATATAGGCGTTCACGTGCTACGTGGTGCTCTTGAATGCAAGTATAGAAGCTCTCTGGAATTAGTGTTCGAATGTACCTTGTACAAAGAACCCTGAGTTTCACTATGATTGCATGCAATACAAAGAAAACAGATTTATAGCATGCAAACAAAACCGAGTCGCACAAGTAACCTCGAACCGCTACAATCGCGAATGTTCGAGTAACATTTCGAAGGGGTGAAATTCGACACTCGAATTTCACCGAACCGAATGTCACTTCAATCTCGAATGTTCCTGGTGCTGCCATGTGGCACCGAATTGACGAGTCTTCCGAAGTCAAACTTCAGCCCCACGCAAACCTGCAGCTCACCCGAAGGTGAGCACTAAAATCAGCACCGCTTGGTGGTTGGGGGCAAAACTCCCCCATGCAACCTCCAACAAGTTAGGGTTCGTTAAAGCTCCGATATACAATTGAAAGGAGGGGTTCAAAATATTTTGAAATTTGAAAAGTTGCCCCAAACCTGTGGGGCGCACTCCCTAAACCCGAAACCCTGTCGACAAATGTATACTTCAGCTTTAAAACCAGGGTCTCACGTAAGAGAAATTGTGATCAACTGCAAAACAATTGAAGTTGGGTCACCCTGTTTGAGGTGGCGAAGTCTAGGGGTTGGTTTGGCAATTGACTGTGCGACACCTCCCGTTTTTTCCTGTGAAGCAATTGCAAAACATTTTGATGGGTACATGAGACTGACGGGATGCTCGAACATTTTGCTGGTGATCTAGCTTTGGCACCGAACCAATTTCCGTGCCTAGATGGTTCGGACACAAACTGCGAATTGTGTTTCCTTCGCTCCCCTCGTCCCACCGCTCGCCTTTCTTTACACCTCGCCAACCAATCCTAACCAAGGTGACCTCATCAACTGCAAAACAAATTATCCACGTGAGACCCTGATTTTAAGCTCCGTCAGCCTGGTCAGCTCGGAAAAATGCTGCCGAGCCTATCATGCCGTCCGAACCAAATACAAAATTGAGGGCCTGGCGAACGCCCCCAAACTTCCTCCATTTCGAACGGCATGACGTCGTTTGGAAATGGGGACGCAATTTTGTCCCCATGCAAATATCCCTCCCCATGCCATTCCATCGCCATTCCCCCTTTCACGGAGGACAGCGTGTCAGAATAGTAGGCAGAACGAGGAGCCATAGCTAGGGTTTAGCTAGCTAGGGTTTAGCTAGCTAGGCAAGAGAAAATAGGCAAAGGCGGGGGTTCACTAGCAAACATTGGGATACATATAGCAAACCCTAACAGGGCTGTACTCACTATAGAGTACCCCACTGCAGACTAGAGAAACATACCATTCTGACACCCCCCCATAGTCAAAGTGGGGTATAATCAGCACAGCAAGCAGTCATAGAGCAGGTTCACAAGGACAAGCAAAGCTAGAGGCATTCACAGAGGGCAAGTGAGGAGGAGGAGGGAATGTGAGAGGAGAGGAGATGGGAGGCGACGCCGGATGCTGCAGACACACGGTAGCGGCTGGCTCAGTGGCTACCGAAGCAAAGGCCCGGACTACAGGAGTAACTGGCTCTGCGGCTAACTCTGAGCGGCTGGAGCAACTGACCCACGGGCGATCGGTGACTACCGGAGATTGTAGCCTTCGGACTACTGGCGCTGCTGGCGACACGACGGCTCAACCTCCGCTCAACCTCCCCCAACTGTCCCACCCCCCTTTCACACACCCCTTGCTACACCCCTAGCTCCACTCCCACGTCACCCCCCTAGCACCAATCCTTCGGCTCCCACACACCCACCCCCCTCAGCGGCAGCTGCAGCAGTGGGAGACGGAGGAGGAGGAGGAGCAGGGAACGGCTCACACACCCGCCACCCCCATACCCGCCACCCCCATACCCTCCAACGCAGGGCAGAAACGCGGGCAGCAGGTGGGGCGGCGTGTGAGCGGAAGCGGGGCGGCGCGCGGGCCCCCAGGGCGCCTCGACGAGCGACGGGAGGGGGCGACGCGCGGGCCCCCTGGGCGCCGCGACGGGCGACGGGAGGGGCGACGCGCGGTCCCCAAGGGCGCCGCGACGGGCGACGGGAGGGGCGACGCGCGGCCCCCCAGGGCGCCGCGACGGGCGACGGGAGGGGGGGGCAACGCGCTGGCCCCCAGGGCGCCGCGACGGGCGACGGGAAGGGCGATGCGCGGCCCCCCAGGGCGCCGCGACGGGCGACAGAGCAGCGCGCGCGGGTTCCCGGGGGCGACTTGCGGGTCGACGGGGGCAGCGCGCGGGTCGACGAGGGCAGCGCGTTGGTCGACGGGGAGGGACGCGCGGGTCCCCGGGGTGACGCGTGAGGCAGCAAACCGCCGCGCGCCTCGGGGCGCACGGCGGGCAGAAAACCGCCGTGCGCCCCGAGCGCACGGCGGGCAGAAAACCGCCATGCGCTCCGAGCGCGTGGCGGGAAGAAAAAACGTCGCGCGCCACGGGGCGCGCGACAGACAGGACAGCAGCAGCGGAAGCATGTGGGCCCACTGGCCAGGAGCGCAAAGGCTCTAATACCATGTCAGAATAGTAGGCAGAACGAGGAGCCATAGCTAGGGTTTAGCTAGCTAGGCAAGAGAAAATAGGCAAAGGAGGGGGTTCACTAGCAAACATTGGGATACATATAGCAAACCCTAACAGGGCTGTACTCTCTATAGAGTACCCCACTGCAGACTAGAGAAACATAACATTCTGACACAGCGATGGCATACAGAACGCATTGCCGTTCAAAGGGGAACCTGTGATCGAGCCAAATGTTTGACGAATGGGGGTTCGTATCCCCCCATTTTTCCCCTCACGAATACACCTTCGATGGTGGCGGGGATTGTATTTGAGCAGGGTTAGTTTTCCTTTGCGTTTTTTACCCTAGTCCAGTAGTTTTTGGCCCCCGGTCAGGTAGTGGTCAGTGATATTTTCTCGGTGGCGGTGCGATCTCTCCGTGCAGTTTTGCGGAAGGCACTCGCTCACACACACCTGGGCGGTGTTCGCCAGCACAAGACAATTTGAAAAAAAAATCGACGGCATTGGGATGGCCGTGGAATCAGGAACCGGGGGCGGAACCCGGGGAATAGGTTTGGGCTGAATGCCACTTCGCGAAATTTCGCGCATGATATTGGAAACGTGGCAACGGCATCAGGAACCCCAATCACCAACTTCCCCCCTCCTGGCACATTTTTTTAGCGTGGCTGACCATTGCCTGACTGGGGGCCCAAAACTTGCACGTAGGGTAAAAATCGATAAGAAATGTGCAGAGCCAGCTCAGGTTCGAGGTGTATTCGAGAGGGGAAAATTGGGTGTAAACGAGGGCCCATTTGTCACTCATTTGGATCTACTTGTGGTTACCCTCAGCTCGCCAATCACATCGCCATTCCAAGACAATTCCCCGTGAAATGGTGAATTGCGATGGGATGGCATGAGGCAGGAAGGTTGCCCGGAGACAAAATTGCTTCCCCATTTCCAGATGCCATGAAACCGTCCGAAATGGGGGAAAATTGTGGGCGTTCGCCAGGCCCTCGAGATTCCATTTGTGTCGGACGGCATCATAGGTTCGGCAGGATTTTTACGGTCTGACCATGCTGACGGACCTTAACGAACCCTAACTGACGGGATCAGGAAGGCGTGACTGACCTTCCTGATCCCGTCATTTTTGCTGTTAGTTGCGCTGGCGAACACCGCCATGATGCTCGTTTGAGCCCCCCACTGTTGCCTTGTGAAGAGGGCGCTTAAGTGATTCTTGCATTTCGCATATTTTTCGTCAATTCGCAGCTAGCAAAAAAGGGCCTATAAAACAATTGTAACTTATCCGTTGACAGTTTGACTTCGGTCTCTTCAGTTTGACTTCGGTCTCTTCGTTACCATTTGTTCATAATCACTGCAACTTGCTCGGGGGCCTTGTAAGGTGGGTGCAACTGGCCGATCCAAAAAACACAGGTGCAGACTTTCTAAAATGTGCAGGGCAAATTCGCGCGCAGGGGTTGAGCATAGTGTGTAAATTGAATGGAATGTAGCAAACCAACACACAACAGAGGGCGTATCCCTGGGTGGTGGCAGGGCAACTGTTCATCGCACTGTTTGATGGCAAGCGTGTTTCCCGCCTGCCACCAACATTTTGCCCGAGGCGCGCGCGACACGTATTTGGTGGCATTGAAATGACATTTTTATGACATTGCCCAATCACGCACCTGTATTTGCGCGCCAGTTTCCTGACACCAAACTGACGTTTTATGCGTTCGTGGCAGGCTGCCATCTACAGTGGCCCTTCCACCACCCAGGGATACGCCCAGAGAGGCAGCACCAGACATCGGACATTACCAGTACTCGAACTGCTTTGAAGCACATTTCTCCTAAGAAACGGATTCAAAAATACGTGACACCATAATTGGCTACGTTGTAGTTTTTCGGCGGCCATTTCCCCTTCGCCATGCATAGACGCATGGCGGTATCGTCTGCTAGTAAAGCAAACAGCAGCGACGTGATTCTTCTCCTGCTCCTCTGCTCTTTGCTGCTCTGCTTCCCAAGCGCCGCAGTCGGTGCGAGGCACACGGCGCTTAGGTCACAGGGAGTCGTCGAGCGGGACCATAGCGCACACGATCTGTACGTCCGGAAGCACGTTCCTTCGCGGTAATATCAATGGCGGAAAAAGGAGCAACACTGGCACCATTGCAGCTGGTGCGACTACAACCGCCGGCTCTACTACCGCCGCCGCTGGCTCCGCGGGTGCTACAACCGCGGCGGCGGGCACGGGCTGCGCGACGTTGGCGCTGGAGAGGTTCGTGTGGTCGGCGGCGCTGGGGTCCAGTCTCACGCTGCATTGGCCGCAGTGGACTCGTCGCTACTCGCCTTAGCGCTGGAAGCGGCGGGCGGCAGCGCGGCAACGGCGGGGTGGTTCGCCGTGGGGTGGTCGGCGACGGGCCGCATGGTGGCGTCCGACGCCATGGTGGGCAATCTGGCGGGCGGCGCCGTCAAGGCGGTGTACATGAGCGGCACAATGCAGAGCGACGTTCAGCCCACAAGTAGCTTCGATATTGGCAACGCAGAGCTCGCCACGTCACCCTCGGGGACCACCATTCTCAAGTACGTGGCAATGGCGCTGGTGTTGGATGTTGAGCTGCTTGTCCTCGGAATATTATATCATATATAGGGCTCAGGGTTTGGGGTTTGAGGTTTGATTTCCTTCCTCTTTCATTCTCTCCTTTCTTTCTGACTCTCGCACTCACACACACCCTCCCCACCCCCCCGCACCCCCCTTCCCTCTTGTTCAGATTCAACCGCTCGGCGCGAGACGGGTCGGTGGCGGTGAGCGTGCAGGGCAGCAACACGCTCGTGTGGGCGCACTCTAGTGACTGCTCGCAGACGCTTGGCTAACATGGCGGCTACGAGTGAGTGCAGCTCCTAAGTTCATCATATAGTCATTTCTAATACTTCCTACTCCAGCACAAACAAGGGCGAGAGAGGCCCAGTGAGAACAATCTGAGCCAACTCATCTCATCATTTCATTCCAACCCATCTCGCAGCTTCCGTTTCCCTTCACTTTGTTCATTCTTCTCATGCTCTTGCTTTTCCCCCTCTCCCCCTCCCCCTCTCCCCCTCTCCCCTCCTCCCAGTGGCGCGCTTCAAGTGGACTTCGCGTGCTCCTCTGCCTCGTCCGGAGGGGGAGGGGGTGGCGGCTCTGGTGGAGGCACGGGGGGAGTCACTGGCGGAGGTGGGGGCGACTATGGGGGTGACTACAACGGGGGAAACAATGGGGGTGGTGACTACAGTGGTGGTAATGGCGGTGGTGATTATAACGGAGGGAATGGAGGGGACTACAATGGTGGAGGTGACAATAATGGGGGGAGCAGTGGGGACTATAGGGGTGGAAGCGGTGGTTGGGGGAGTGGTGGTGGAGGAGGGAGCAATGGTGGGGGCGCAGGAGGCGGAGGAAGGGGAGGCGGTGGGGGGGACTGCAGTGGAGGGCCTGAGGGCGGGCGTGGGGGACCTGGTGGGGGACAGGGGGGGGCTGGGGGCGGTCAGGGCGGACCTGGGAGTGGGAGAGGCGGGTCAGGGGGCGGGCAAGGGGGAGCCGGTGGGGGACAGGGGGGATTTGGGGGCGGGCAGAGCGGATCTGGGGGCGGACAGGGCGGACCTTGTGCTGGTGGGGGGCAAGGGGGAGGTGGGGGCGGGCAAGGGGGAGCTGGGGGCGGGCAAGGAGGAGCTGGGGGAGGGCAAGGGGGAGCTGGGGGCGGCAATGGTGGTGACTACAACAATGGGGGGAGCTACAGCGGCGGTAAAGGGGGAGGCAACACAGGCGGACAAGGTGGTTACTACAGCGCCGGAGGAGGGGGAGGTGCTGCTGGTGGGGGTGGTGGTGCTGGTGGTGGGGGTGCTGGTGGTGCTGCTGCTGGTGGGGGCTGTGGGGGAGGGCAAGGGCAAGGTGTGGGACCTGGGGGACAGGGGGGCGCTGGAGGCGGACAAGGGGGAGCTGGTGGGGGACAGGGGGTAGCTGGGGGAGGGCAGGGTGGACCTGGGAGCGGGCAAGGGGGATCTGGAGGCGCGCAGGGCGGACCTGGGGGGGATTATGGTGGGGGGAGCAATGGCGGGGACTATGGTGCTGGTGATGGCGGTGGTGACTACAGCGGGGGGAACACTGGAGGGGGCTATGGTGGCGGCAATGGTGGTGACTATAACGGGGAAAGCAACGGTGGTGACTATAAAGAGGGGAGCGATGGTCACTACAGTGGGGATTACAACGGAGGAACGGGCGGCAATCAGGGCGGCCCATCTGGAGGTGTAAGTGGCGGGGGAGGCAGGGGCGGTGGTGCTGCTGGCGGGGGAATGGGAGGGCCTGGGGGAAAGACTGGCGGAGGCATGGGAGGAGGAGGAGGGATGGGAGGAGGCATGGGCGGTGGTACTGCTGGCGGTGGTGCTTCTGGCGGTGGCCTGGGAGGGCCTTGGGAGATGGGAGGAGGCGGAGGAATGGGCGGGGGCGGGGGGAATGGGAGGGGGCGGGGGAGTGGGAGGGGGTGGGGGAATGGGAGGGGGCGGGGGAATGGGAGGGCCTGGGGGTGGTATGGGTGGAGGAGGAGGGATGAGGGGAGGGGGAGGGATGGGCGGAGGTGGAGGCGTGGGTGGTGGCGGCATGGGGGGAGGAGGCATGGGGGGAGGAGGCATGGGGGGAGGAGGCACGGGGGGAGGAGGCATGGGTGGAGGATGCATGGGGGGAGGAGGCATGGGGGGAGGAGGCATGGGGGGAGGGGGCATGGGGGGAGGGGGCATGGGGGGAGGGGACATGGGGGGAGGGGGTATGGGGGGAGGGGGTAGACCTTAGTGGTTCACAGTAAACAGGCAGACAGGCAGACAGGCAGGCACCAACCAATGGCTGACGGGGTGTGGCTGAGGAGGATTGGCAGGCACATCAACTCCAATCATAGATGCTTTGGAAGCCAAAGGCGAATGGATCTTGGGTGCAAGCTGATTTAGCTTCGATGTACCTCAAAGTGGCTGGTGATTCTGAGGTACATCAAAGCCTAATCAGCGTGGAATATTGTGCAGGGGGGTGTAAATTTGTTTTGTAATCCGCATGTTGAGAAAGGATGCACATGTGTTTCAGCTTAAGTCTCTGATTTCTTTGTTTCTCGAGAAACAACGAAAGAAATTAATACAAAATATTTTCGCCAAGAAGCAATCAGTAGGATCCTCAATAAGCCATCAACGTCTAAATCTCAACTAACTTTATCAAGGATGGAGATGTGTTTCACCTCTAAATATCTGATTTCTCTGTTCACCAAGAAGCAACGAACGACACTGTCCTCAAAATGCAATTAGAAGGAACCTCCATCAACGTGGCACACAATAAGCCATCAACATCCATTTCTCTCGAGTTGTTAATGGGAGATGTTGTTTATTTATACACTTACTGAGATTGCTACCTTGTTGTTCATCCACCGGTTCCTTCATTTTTTACCTCCAAAGCATCGATTCATGAGTAGAGTACGCCACGCGTATATGCGACGTAAATGTGTCTGGGGTTTCATTTTTTGAAGGTACAAAGCAGCTTTTATCTAACTTGTTCTTGTTATCACGCACCTCACAAATGCCCTTATATGGGAATCAGGCTCATGACGTTTTTGCAGCATAGGCTCACTCCCATATCACTCACTCCTATTTCCCTCACTCCCATACCCCTCACACCCATATCCCTCACTCCCACATCCCTCACATCCATATCACTCAGTCCCAAATCACTCAGTCCCATATCACTCACTCCCATATCACTCATTCCCATATCACTCACTCCTCTATCCCTCACTCCCATTTCCCTCACTCCCACATCCTTCACACCCATTTCACTCACTCCATATCACTCAGTCCCATATCACTCACTCTTATATCACTCATTCCTATATACCTCATTCCCATATCACTCATTCCCATATGACTCATTCCCACTCATTCCCATATCACTCACTCCCAAATCACTGACTCCGATAACACCCATTCCTGTATCATTCATTTTCAGATCACTTATTCCCATATCACTCGTTCCCATATCACTCATTCCCCAGATCACTCATTTCCATATCACTCACTCCCATACCACTCACCTCTTTATCACTCACTCCCATATCCCTCACTCCCATATCACTCATTCCCATACCTCTCACTCCCATATCCCACACTTCCATATCCCTCATTCCCATATCACTCACTCCCATATCCCTCACTCCCATATCTCTCACTCCCATATCCCTCACTCGCATATCCCTCACTCCCACATCCCTCACTGCCATATCCCTCACTACCTTATTCCTCACTACCATATCCTCTACTCTGTTTTAGCCCAACGGCCATTGCTTCTGCTTCCCGCCATTCCCTCAGCAAGCCCGCCTCACTGCTGTTGCCATATTCAGTTCTTCTTTTGACGTTTTCTTCTGCCGCTGCTTCGGGCCAGTTCTTCAGCCGCTGCCTCCACCCAAGCAGCAAATTATCTGCACTCCGACACTGCTCATGGGCAGTGCTCCTGCAAACGTTTATTTTATAGGGTGATTTACCTTCTAATGCAGCCGTAAGATCGTGCAGTTGGTCCGGAGGCCCATCAGGGCCAACATCTCCTATAGCAGAACCAGCAGAGAGAGTAGCAGTTATAGCTCTACCAGGAGCAGCACGAGCAGCAGAAGTGGCGAGGATGAACAGATTCAGTGTTCATCCACCAGCACCACCAGCACCACGACCACCACCAACACCACCGCCACTACCAGCAGCAGTAGCATAGACGGAAGCTGTACATCATAAGACAGTCCGTCTCTTGTCCAAATATTTATGGACATGCAACGGAGACATAAGGAGCCAAAACCTTTGCCAGCTAGCAGCAGGGGATAGAGCTCTGCCGAGTCCAGCACGTTGAGTGCGGTAGTGGGGATGGTTCAGGGAGGGGGAGGCGGAGGAGTGGGTGGGGGAGGTGGTGGGAGATGGGAAGGAGTGAGAATAGGTGGAACCCAGTTTGGTTTGGCTGGGGATGGATGGTTGTGATTGTCAGAGGTCCACTAGTGATCCCCGATTGATCCTAGGGAAGGGTTACAGGCTCGTTGTCCTGGGGGGTTATGGGCGCACTGACTCGCTACTTAACAAGCCATTTTATCCCAATGGTATAGTGGTTGGGATTCTGACATGGTATCAGAGCGAAGGTTTCGGGTTTGAATCCCAGTGTGTGCACTTCGGGCATCCCAGTGCGGAGGGGTGTCATAGGTCCACTGGTGATCCCCGATTGATCCTTGGGAAGGGTTACAGGCTCGTTGTCTTGGGGGGTTATGGGCGCACTGACCTGCTACTTAACAAGCCCTTCTATCCCACTGGTCTAGTGGTTGGGATTCTGACAGTGATGATGGGTGGTTAAGGAGTGGGGTAGGGGGGAGGGGGACGTTGCATGCAAAGCATAGAGGTGGGGTTTTTTTTCAACCGCTACAACAGGAGAAGCTTAGTGGTATCTTGTAAGATGCAAATATTCACGGTGTATTGAACAATGGTTTGTGGTTCCTCTGAAACCGGCTGCAGTACGATCAGCAAAGTCAATAGTTTCACATTGTATGGGTCGTCAGTGCCTTGTGCTTCATTGTATGAATTATGCGAGCATTCTCTATCAAAATATCATTGTGCTAAAGCTTGCGTACGCATTTTCGAACGGGCGGGAATGTCTAAACAATTTCAGTGTGCAAATTGAAATAAGGATGGGCTGTCATATGTCACGCATTTAAGATAGCATGCGCAGATTGAATAGCAAACTATATATAAATGAGTGACCCGTAGCTAGAGCAGAAGCGAGTCCCACTGTAAGGGGACATGACAAAGGGCACGGTAAGGGAACCAGGCGAGGCGTGTCAGGAGGCCGGGAAGGAGGGAAACCAAAGTGAGGATCGGTTGGGAAACCAAGAAATCGGCAAGCAGGCGGGAATTAAAAGTGACCCAGCCATTGAGAGAAACGGCCGTAAAAGTGATACTTAGGCAAAAAGGATTGCTAGGTCCCACAGCTTGTTTGTTTGTTTTTACCTTATGCTGGGAACTTGTCATTTCAAATGCATCAACTGTGTGACACCTAGCTAGTGAAGCCACCCCACGCAAGCTAAGCGGCGTTAGTGCAGAGACTCTGCTGACAGAGTCAGCCAAGTTAGTAAGGACGTTCTCACACCCCTCGTCAGTGCAGGGTTGCGTTCTTTTAACAATCAAACAAGAAACCAGGACCTATGTCGGACTACATTAGATTAAGATCGGGGTTCAGTTACGCTCCGCCAAGAGACACGGAAGGGCCGAAGCGACGAACGTCCAAGGCAAGCAAGCGAGAGAAAACCCCCTCGGGTCGCGTCACAGCGCATCCCCCGTTTACAGGACGCCGCAGTAAAGGCGGAAAGAGGCTCTCGCGCAGCCAGAACCACAGATGCGAAGGGCGGCGTCCGACCTTGGGCGAACACCAACAGCGGGAAACTGGACCCGGGCGAACCCGGAGCCGGAAAACGTCGGTGCAGACGGGGGGTCTCTCAGCGGGATGCCCGGGATGAGAGGCAGAGAAGCAGAGAGCAGCCCGGCGTGGCCGGAAGACATGGCGCGTCTGCACGGAACCACAAGGAGACGTGCCGAGCTGGTGGTCAGTAGAGAAGCAGAACGCGGGCAAACGGTCTCAAGGCAAGCCAGTCCTGCACGCCAAGCATGGAATCGGGCGAGCCTGCCGAAAGTAGAAGTCGCGGAGCGGTTCAGTGGCATCCCAGAAACAGGGCCCACTCTGAAATTTTACATAATGCAACTGGAAACTGTGCAGTATTGTTGGGAACGGGACGGCTTTGATCAAGCGGAATTCTTCAAGAAGATGGTCAGCACCTTGTTCAGAGAGGCAGAAACCTTCTATCGAATGGTGCGGAAAGATATTATGGAAGAGCTGGAATGCGGAGAAATAGCGGATCCCACGGAGCGGTTCCTACAGCTGCTGAACATATAATTCGTGGGGCAGACCAGAGCACGGATAGAAGAGTTCAAGAACTTCAGGAGGGGCAAAGAAGAATCCATGCTCTCCTACTACAGCAGACTCAGAGAGCTCGCGGAGGACCTCGAGAATCAAGACAAGCGCCTCCTAGTGCGGAAGTTTGTAAGGGGTTTAGAGGAAGAATTGAAGGGAGCGGTGCTCGGTGCAGTATATACGGTGGGAGCGCACATCACTCTGAAGCAAGTCTACGAGCTGACCAAGAGAACCGAGCACGCGCAGCGACTGCTGGACTTAGACGAGGCGGACACCAGGAGCAAGCCCCGCGTAGCGTGGGCGGCCGCGGCAATGCAAGGAGCAGAAGCAGGAGAGATGGCTAGGGTGGACAGCAGGAAATATCACGAATGCGGAGAAGAGGGGCACCTGAGGAGAGAGTGCCCCAAAGTGCCGACATGCGAGAAGTGCGGAAGGAGAGGGCACAAGGCAAACGACTGCTACGCCCGCACGACGAAAGAAGCCGGGCAGAGCAAGGTGGAATTGGAAGCAGAAGTAAAGAAGCTCCAGAAGCAGCTGGAGCGGATGCCGATGGTTCCAGAGCGCTCCAGAGCGATGCTGGCAATAGAAGAGATAGACGAGGGGGAGGAAGGCGAGGAGGACTTCGAGCGGGAATACGGACTAATGGCCTACCCAAGAGACAGAAGTGACCTAGACCTGAGGCCGAGGCAAGCAGCCAGCAGCAGCAGCAACAGCGGCTCCAGCAGCCGAGAAAGAAGGGAGGGGCCGGCTCGGCGTCAGGTAGACAGCGAGATGCGGAGGCATCCAAACGAAAGGCTAGTCTGCCAGTCGACGGTGTTAATAGCAGA